TATGTAGTTTTTGAATTCCCTCCAGTTCCTGATAGGCCTCCTCTGATCTCTCCACTGATACCACGACAGAGCTTTTCCTTCCAAGCACAATCCGGCTGCGGCCACCTTCTCCACCTCCGTCAGTCCATTGACGGCGAAGTATCACTCCACTTTGTAAATCCACACATACGCATCTTCTCCTTCGAATATGGGCATCTTCAACTTCCTCACCTTTTGGTCGCCCCCATTGCCCCGGATTCTTCCATAGTTTCCCCTCTCCCAAGTGCTAGGTGCACCCCATATTTTCCGGTCTTCCCTTGCTCTACCATAGCCCAAACCCCCTTCGAAATCCCCCCTTCTGTCTTCAAAATTAGCACCTCGACAACCATAGTATCCCTCATGGCGTTCCTCTTATCCTCCTCTTTCTTCCCTCTGGACAGGCTTCAGATGGGGTTTTCTTCCTTCTCCTTCCACGATCTCCACCTCCTCTTCCTCCCTACGAATTTCAGAATTTGTACTTTTTCCCTCCATTCTTTTCGCCACAGAAGCTGATGTTTGGTTCTGGATTTCTAATATCTTTTTCATCATGTCTCGTAGATCGTCAACTTGCCCTTACATGGAGGAAATCCTTTCCTCCACCGTCGTTTTAATTTGATTCATCTTCTCTTCAAGTCTTTCCTCCAGAGCATCCACCTTTTTGACCGTCATCACAATCCTGAGTTTGTAAAATCTAAAATCACAACTTCTGGATTTTGAACTTCAAAAACAGCAATTCCCCTTCCTTCCGGGCAATTAATCACCACTGAAATTTGCCGAAATCAGCCCTCCACCGGTCCCACGACTTGCTCTGATACCAATTTGATAGGAAACACTTGTAGTTTTCAAGTATTTCCTATCAATCTTTGGAAAACAACGAAAATCTTCACAAAAGTCCGCACAAAAACCACAAAAAACAGTAGATAACTTGTATGATTTGATAAAAGGAACACGGAAAATAGCAAGATATACTTGATCCTCAATTCGAGAGGAGGATCGATCTCTCCCAAATCTCTAGACGCTGTTAGAGCCCAAAGAAAACCTAAATCTAAGAGATCTCAAATTTCAATCAAATTCAAGATGCCCAAACCCTAGGAAAACAAACTATTTAATGCATACAAATCAAAACGAAATCCCTAAACAATCCCTACATTCAAATTTCCCTCTCAAAACCCTCAAAAAAGCTTCCTAAAAAGCTCCCGCACGGTGTACGGCTCGCTCGGCATCCCAGCGGGCGGAGATTTCTCCGCCCAGTTCGCGCTGGGCCGGTCCCGCACGGACCGGCTGGACCGGTCCACTGGATCGGTCTAACAGTTCATCATTTCTATCTAACCCCCACATCCTCTGGTGCCACCATTTATTACCTTATTCTTGTCCTAAAATTCTATTTAAACTTTTTTTTAAGCTCAAGGATTCAGAGAGAATGAATGTGTGTGGATAAAGAGTTATAAAAGAGAGAATGAAGGGTAGGAGAGAGTGTTGAGTGAGTGCGGAAGGTGATCAAGGGGTGAGCCATAAAGGAATGTTTGATAGAAAGGACCTTTAATATCACAAACATGAAGGACCTAGTTGCATCATTTTTGAAATAGGGGCCTATTCAGCTGAAATTGAGATAACCAATAATACTTCTTCCCATTAGATTTTCAATGTAGGTCTTTCAAAATGTAAATCAAGATAAGTTTATCTTTGATTTGATTCGTTAAACTTATTTGGAATAAACAACTGACTTGTTGTATTAGGAAGATTGTCATAACATTTTTATGTAAGACTAGTAATAGGTCATATGTAAGCAAAGAGACTTGATAGTGATGTAAAGGCAAAAAAAGTTGTATACTTTCTAATAAATGCCCAAGACAATTCTTAGTTGGAGGACATGTGAGGTCAAATTATAATGAATATTTACAAGCTTTCATATCTTCTAAAAGCATATAAATTTATCATATGGACAATCAATTATTTCCAAATTGTCTTGATAAATGTTGTTATGACTAAATTTATGGATATGTTCATGCAGTTTGATTTTCTCAAGTTTCTTTTTAATAACTTGTAGATCATGAATCTATGAATCTAAATTAAGATGACGGTTTGATATGTCGATATAAGTTTAATGTTAATTGTGTGACCTTTTGTTATATATATATATATATATATAGCCTAGCAGGAAAGTTAAGGAAGTCAGTATAGACTAGCCCAACTTAACATAAACTCTTACAAGGTTTATAAGATATAGTTTTAATTATTTTTTTCCTAGAGATTTCTCGAAATGAAATATATAATTTACATTGGGTTTGTTTTATTTATTATGGGGGTCATGGATTTCAAGAGTAGCAAGCTTATAAGTTTAATTATATCTCAGTTATATCTGAAAAAACTCTCAATTAAAGAGTTTTGTTTGTGTTTCTATTTGACTTGACATGTGTTTAAAAGGGACAAATTTAAAATAATATCAATTTTGAATTGGCTCAAAAGGGGTATGGGTATATCTAAGGAATAAAAAATGGAAATACATAATTCAGGTAGGATTTTATGAATTTGTCGTTTTAGGTTATCTGATTCTCAATTTACTTGGTTAAGAAGACATTCAACCCAACTTGACATTAAGTTCATTATTAGAAATAGTGAATTGCGTCATTCAAAAAGACTTTATAAATCATGAGCCAAAGAAGTATACTTAAGACTCTCTGTGGTGAAAGGACGGAAAGTAGAGCTCTATCAAAATCAAAATACCCAAGAATTGGTCTTATAATCATGCTTGGATCCAGAATATTATTAAATTCATCTAAGCATGCTAGAATTTTACATAAGCGTGTTTAGAATCATAACACCAAGTCAATCTTCAAATGGAGCTAGGATACCTTATGGGACTATATTTTACATAAGCGTCTTATTAATCATGCTATGCAATATATTATGTCCCTAGGTGGGCTTTTATCTATATACTGAGTTGAACATGCCATGACATGATTGACCAGTTAGGCTCTTGTTAATTTTAAAGCTCACATTCGTGAAAAGATATCAAATTTATGAATATATTTTCACATAAACGGAATGAAAGTATTGTTCATTTAATTTAAAATCAGTTGTTTTAAGAGAACTTGCATTTTTTTCTTTTTAAACGGATTGTCCTATGATTGATTTTAGTTGTCCTGATTTTAAATATGATAGAAAATTTAAGTTCCTAGGAGCCTATCAAAATGCGATGAGTCCAAACAAGCAACCTGGTATCAATTAAAGGGAAAATTAATCACGGGGAAACATGCTTTTGAATAAATATATCATATTTATAAAAAGTATAAAAGTGATCGTATGCATCTTAGTTTTACAATACTCAAAAAAATAAAAAAATGTAATGCAATTGGGCTCTGCATAAAGACAACCTAGACCTTGGTTTATGGAAATGAGAAGTACAAGGATCTTGAATTCCTTGTCAACTTGGTTTTAGTTGAATTTCCATTTTCCAACTTTTGGTGGTTTTAAAAACAGTTTCACGGATTCGCTTATCCTGATTATTATTGTGTTGGTTGCTCTTTTAGGTTCTTTGGAGAATTTGCTGCAGTGTCTTGATCAAGTCGAGGAGGAACGCATTAGAAAGGTTTATCGCTCTATATTATCGTAACTTTTGATGTAACAAGTTTAATTTTTAATTTCACAGGTGGCTCTAAAAATTTTTTGCTATATATTACCTGTCCTGATTACTTGTTCTTTTTTTAGTTTAATATTTAGATGATTTTGGACTTTTGATTGAATGAGAATGTCTTTAACAGGCTCTCATGCAGGATTCTGAGCAGGCTATATTATGCAAGAATTTGGTAATATCTTTGGCTTCCATGTTTGTCATTATTCATATATGAAAGCCGTCAGAGATGTGTTTTGAAAATTAGAAATTTGATACTTCTTTGCTCGATTGACTTGCTGCCTGTATTTTTATCTTTATGACGAAATTTATCTTTTGCTTGATAGATTGGAAATAATATAAAGGGAAACTGGCCGACCTAGACCAAAAACATATCTTTTTCGATGGTTCTTCCGTGTTCAGTTACCAATTTCTCTCATCTGCAAGCCAGATTAACCATCTCTTAGTTTGAAAATCTTATTAATTTGTGTCAGATACAGCAGTTTCAGGCTTAGGATGAAATATTATGGCAAGCCAAATGAACCTTTTTGTTTTTCTTAAATGATGAGCAATAAATATCAAAGTGTGGCTCAAATATGTGATGTGGAGAGAGAACCTTTTCAACACATAGGTTGCAGATCCTTTCACATACTCTTCAACAGTTATAAATGCAACATAAATGATGGCACGAAACTCATCTTTGTATAAATTTATTTAAGTTATGAATTTTAATTTTTATAAGAAAATTTTTCCACAGTGGGATAAAGATTTGTGCTGCATAGATTTAGTCTTAGTTTTTTGGTTGTAAAGAAGGGGAATCGTCTTTATGTTTGAGGGTTATTTCATTAAGATTTTTTTTTGGAATTCAATTTACTTTTCCACTGCTGTACCTTTTTCTTGATAAAGAAAGATTCATCATCTTTTTGTTGAATATGATAAATAAGGGTATTAAAAACTTCATAGTGAAATCTGCAATGAAGGTAGTGGACATGGCTTTCAATTGGTTGAACATGCCTAAAGATCTAGTGGGCTGATCTTTTTTTGTTTTTTGTTCTTTCGCTCTCTATGATTGAACTAATAAGTTTCCCCTAGTTCCCAACCGGCTGTTTACTAAATGTTTACTAAGTGTTTTTGTTGTACTTTTAATCTGTATAGGCCACATTAAGATCTGATCTTCCTTCTTATATGGTTCCTTTTAAAGTGCCAGATTTTGTATTTCGGAAACCGGAGGTATGTTCTCTTATTTGATATCCCATCTGCTTACACAGCTTCATTGATCTTTAAATAATTGTCGTATTTGACAATTCTTGCAAGGATAACGGAGAAAAATTAATAAGTCTTCTGCGAGCAATTGGAGCATATGCAGAAGGTTCCTCTGCAGATTCCATTATAAGAAGAGTTACTTATTTATGGAACAAGCTCAAGTTATGAAGAATTTGAAGGCTGAATCTTCTCAAGGCTAAGAAAATAAGAAGATGAAATTTGGCAATGAGCTCTTCTGACAGGTTTCTGGAGATTTATGCTTATTTCTTTTCTTCTAATTAATTTTCTTCTAACTTAGAAGTGGCTCATATTCCCCAATCCAAGTTTCTTCGTAGCAGTTCCAGGAAGTATTTTCCCCCTGTTTCTCATAGCAAGATGGAATCTTGCTATTATTTTTGTCAATAAAATAGATTGAGAAGTTGTAGGGAAGGCATTTATAAAAGCCGTTGCTAGTAAAATAGTTTGGTTGATTTAGATTTATAAAAAGAAAAAAAAATAATATTCTACCTGATATCAACATTTTTAATCAAACTTGCATAGATAAACTTGGCTTTTTTTTTGAAGTTTATGTTAGAACGTTTTGATACAAATTTGTTTGCAATGAATTTTATCATGATTGATTTCAATTAATTTAATATTATATTATATTTTTAAAGTTAAGTGTTGCAGAGATGAGGATGCTTAGGTGGATGAGTGACTTTACCTTTAGAGATAGGATACGAAATGAGCTTATACGTGAAAAGGTTGGAGTAGCTCCAATGGAAGATAAGATTAGAGAGAGTTGCCTTAGATGATTTGGTCGCATTAAACGGAAGCCTTCCGATGATCCGGTTAGGAAAATTGAGGTATTAGATTTGACTTATATTAAGAAAGCTAGAGGTAGACCTAAAAAGACTTCGTTAGAAAATATTAGAAATGATCTTTCTTTATTAGATTTAAATGCGAATTTGACTTTTTAACATGACACAATGACGTAAAAGAATTCATGTAGCTGATACAACGTAGTGGAATAAAGGGATAAAGGTTTGATGATGATGTTGTTGTTATACTATTATATTTTTAAAGTAAATTTTGTGGCAAAAAACTATCATGATTAAGTTTAGCTTATGATAGAAGTGATTAAAATTATGGGATAAAAATATTTTTCTTTCATTAAATTTATTTTCTGAACTAAAACTGTACTCAGAAAATAAAAAATTAGGTAGCAGAAGTGGAGCTATCATTATCAGCCAGCTCGAAGCATGTTATGTAAGAAATCATCAAAATGTAGTGTCGTATGATTCCATGTTTTTTTTTGTTCTTCAGGAGATGCGACAAATCATCAGAATATCTTCTTAAAAGGACTATAGTAGTTAGGTAGTGTGCTAAAATCTAAAAAATAAAAATCCCAAAATGATTCAATAATGATGGAGAAAATAAGACACGCCTCTTAAAGTTTTAAAAAATTGATTGATACCAAAATAATTTCAAAAGACTTTGCGTGGTTATTTGATTAGCAAATTAGGTGTAAAATATTTCAATTGCAAGGATTTTGAAAACATTGGAGTTTGGTCGTATGAAAAAAGAACGTAAATTAAAGTAAATATAGTGCAAATTATTTTAGTTCATATTTTTAGCTTAATTAAACTCAATTTTGAGCGAGAAATGATCACACTACAAGTAAATTCGCTTGAACGCTGCCTCTGCATGCCACTGCCACCAACCTCCTATGCCTTCATTTGCCTCCAACCAACACCACCTGCTAACCACCACCATCGGCTGTCACCACTTGCCATTGCCATCAGTCATTAGTCGTTACAGCCATCGACCACCACCTACGACCGCCATTGTCGACCACTATAACTGTCAGCTACCATCACCGCCAACCGTTGCCACTTGCCGCCACCATCTTTAAATTTTACAATACATTTTTTTTTTCTAGTCAAATTAAAAAAATATTCACTTACATTTATTTTAAACTAATTTAAATAAATTGAAACAAAATACACAACCTCTTTTTTTACCCAATCAAGTAACCTCTTAAGTTGCATACTTAATTTGAAACAGAATTTTATATGCCATTTTACATCAGCTTTTACGAAAGGAGTATAATTCAGCAACCACCAATATACTGAATATTTTTGTCGGGAAAGGCAATGATTTCTATTCATAAAAATTAAAATCCATACTTTGACCCCATTTGAAGAGGACGAGAACACAGGAGCAATGTCTACTGCGCGCCACCTTATCTCATCACCAACACGGCCAAAGCCATGTACAGGAAGAAATCCGACCACATCCCCACCATGCAACGCCTGTCCTTCCACAGCCGCCACCGCCGCTCGACCTCCCCGTTACTCTCATCCGGATTAGTCGGCAGATTCTGCACAACCGGCTGCCCGCACGTGCTTCCGCCTCTTCCCGGCACGCAAACATCCGCCGGAGGCGGTGCGGACAAAGCAATCCCTGGCACGGACCCACTTCCCGTTTCCGCCGGCGCCGGGCTCGGCGTCGTCACTTGCCCCGCTCCTCCCTCCGACTTGATCAGTCCGGCATCATAAATCGGCGTAAGATCAGTCTTAAACAGTCCGAACGAACGCTCCGACGTCGGCCCGGGCTTCAAATCCTCATTGTAAAGCGCGAATATGTAAGTCTCCACTGGATCCACCATTGCCTTCAGATGAGTTACCAAATTCCCATTATACGCCTTGGCGTTGTCCACTGTAGCTCCGGCCTCTCCTGCGTCCCCGTTGTACGGCCACCCTGTCTCCGCCACCACGACTTCAGTTCCGGCGAACCCGGCCGCCCCAAGCGCGGCCCGAACAGCCGCCACTTGGGCGTCGAACATGTTCGTGTAGGTGACCCCCGAGGCCGGGTCGGGTCGGCCCGAATTCGGCTGGAAGAGACAGAAAGCCAGGGTCTCAGCCCGCTGATCGCTCTGATAAGCGAAATACGGGTAAGGGTTCACCATGAAAGGGGATTCGTTGTCGTGGAGGAATTGGAGAATGGAATTTAAGGAAGGAGCGAGATCGGAGTGAAACGCGCCGGAGGAGGGCGGGTCAGATTGGGACAGCACGGCCATGGAATGGACGGTGGAGATTTTGATCCCGGCGGGGATCGCGGATTTGAGATTCTGCATCGCGGGGAGGAGCTGGGAAGAGAGAGACGAGTCGCCGGAGGTGAGGACTTCGTTGCCGACGGAGATGGTGGAGATGGAGGTGGCGGGAAGGAAAGGGAGCACGTTCGATGAGATCCAGGCGGCGGCGGTGGAGGGGTCGGTGGCCAGGGAGGGGATTTCACCGTTCGTGGTGCCTAGGATGAGAGAGATGTTGGTGCCGGCGAGGGATTTGATGATGGCGGGGTCAGCTCCGTAGAGACGGAGCTTAGAGATGGTGGTGGATTGGAGGAGGTGAGCGGTGGATTCCGGAGCGGGGAGGTTGTCGGCGTACTCGCCATAGTTTACTCCGATGTAAGGTTGGGAATCTGAGGGATTAACTATTAGTCTGAATATATCGATCATTAATCTTAATAATTAAAAAAAAATGCTGGAGAAGGTGATGAAGACTTACTTGCTAAGGAGAAGGCGCGGAGGAATGCGGAGAGTATGAGAAGGAAATGAGGGAGCTTTCCCATGGCGGCCGCCCAGACTCCAGAGTGAGGTACACTTGACTGACCAGATGATTATATTTATATATAGATTAAATATGACGTGGAGTTAACGGCGGGCAGTTTGTGAAGACGATTTTTTCCAACTTTTTTCTTGGCTTTTACGGCTCAGTAATATTTATTTATCTGAGCTAAAAGCCTAAAACTGTTAAAGCTGCGAAGAAGAAGAAACAAAGCAGGAGGAGAAGTATAGCGAAGTGACTTCGAACGAACCTTTCGGTAGTTGCTTTCTTTTTTTTTTTATATATTGTTTTCTCTCCTTTTTCGAGGATTTTTTTTTCTCTTTAAGTTTTCTTTGCATTTCGCGCGTGTAAAATACCCCAAAGGCCTTTCCCCTTTGTTCGTGTGGTTGCTGATTAAGTAATTGACCCGTACTTAATCGAGAATCGAAAAGAAAGCATTAAAAATTGGAATTGACAGATTGCTGTGTGTAGATTGAAGGCTGAGAGCGATTTAGTGTTTCCTTCTCCTCTCGTTGTGGTTGCTTTGCCGCCACCCTCCGATCCCCTTCTCCAACCATCTGGGTGAAGCCTCTTCACCCAGATGGAGCTCTCCCATGCCTACCTCTGTCCTTGGCTCCCCCTCTCCGCCAAAATCTCCCAAATCCTATGCGGAGAACCTCTCCAACCCTACAACTAAAGCGCCAAATTTCTCCGTTTCCTTTTTCACTCCTAGTCAAAAGCTCTCTTTTGCAGGAGATGATTTATCGGAAGGTTCCTCCGTTTGGTCTCTTTCGCTTGTGGGCTACTCCATTCGGCAGAGGCCTTACTATGAGCGCTTGCTCGGCGCTATGAAGAAGCTCTGGTCTCTTAAGGGTTCCCTCTCCCTGCTTTCGCTTGCGGATGGTTTCTTCCTCCTAAAGTTTACTTCGCCGAAAGATCTGAATATGGTCTGGAATGGTGGACCTTGGTTCCTGTTCGGCAAACCTTTCATTCTCCAAAGGTGGTCACCTAAATTCAAGCCGGTTAGAGATGAAGCCGCCTCCATACCGATCTGGATCAAGATCATCAACTTCCCCCTGGCGCTTTGGACTCCGACGGGGATCTCCAGGATAGCTAGCTATATTGGAATCCCTCTATCTGTTGATTCCCTCACGGCAAATAGATCCCGACTTACCTTTGCGCGGGTATGTGTTCAGATTTCCAAAAACTCGCCTTTGCTTGAAGAAATCCCCATTCAGATTGAGGGGGAAGACATTAATCTTAAAGTTGCTTATGATTGGAAACCCTTGCCTTGTGAGGGTTGCGGTTCGCTAATCCACCCTTTCTCCTCCTGCCCTGCTAACCCCAATCCTCAACACATTCCCCCGCCTCCTTCCAAACCTCGTGGTAGGAGTTTCTCCAGAAAACCCTTTAACCGTGGGAAGAATTCTACTTCTCGTCCACCTACTCTTCCCCCAATTCTGAAACCGACCATCACCCTCGATGCTCTGGTTGATCCCTCTTCGGTCCTAGCTCCTACTATTACTAACGATCAGAGGAAGTCGCCACCTTTATCCCTCAATCCAGTTTGATTGCCCCTGAAATCCCCTACCTCAACTCCACCCCCGGATGACACCTCCTGCTTGGAGGTTTTTACTATCCCGGCTATTCCTCCGCCAACCACTTTTCCCCTCAAGAACAAATTCTCTTCCTTGGAGGAGGCTGACATTCCTCCAAATCCCCAAGCTTTCTCAACCACCAACGTTAACACCACAACCCCGGGAGATGCCTCTTCTCCCTCCTCCTCTACCTTGGGCTCCTATTTCTCTGGGGATGACCCTTCCCAAATCAAAAAATCCTCCTCCTCAGACTTCCCCCCAGTCCAAAGGAAAACATAGCCCAAAACCGCGAATAAGGCAAAAGGCTCTAAGTTTTAATGTCCTCTTCTTCCTTTGCTAGCTAGAACCTGAGGGGGTTTAACAACCCCCAATAAGGTCCATATGTGTCGGGACCTTGTTAAAGCTCATAATATTAAGCTGTTGTGTATTCTGGAGGCGAAGATTCCTGAACAGGACCTTCGTGACCCTTGGTTTGTTAATAAACACACTACTTTTGATAATGAGATGACTTGTGATAACTTCCATTGCTCTCCTGTGGGGAGAATTTGGGTTAAGTGGGACCCTTCTCATGTCTCCTTTTCCCCCCATTTATCTATTTGCTGTTTATGCGCTAACGAACCTTAAGGCAAGAGGGTTCTGTCAACTTCAAGACCTTGCTTCTGTTGGATTATTTTTTGCTTAGCACAATCATAGGGTGGATCTACCCATCCAATGTAAGCTGGACCGAATGCTGGTCAATTCGGCTTTGTTGGATTGCTACACTTCTTCTTATTATAAGGTTTTGGCACCTGCTGGTTCCGACCACTCCCCAATCATTTTCTTCCCTTACCACAACAGTAAACCTCCAGTGAGGTTCAGGTATAAGAAATTCTGGCATAATATGGAAGGTTTTTGGGATTTGGTGTTGAATGCTTTCAACACTAGGCATGGTGGGAGCCCTGTGGCTGCTTTCTATTATTATCTCAAAACTTTAAAAGTTTATTTTAAAAGAGCCAACTGGGCTTCCTCTAATTACATCTCCTCTAAGATTCTGGAGCTGAAAGCTCAGCAGCATTACATTTTGACTAAGCTCCAATCTCAGCCCTTGGACGCCAACTTAAATTCCTCCCTTAATTCTGTTAATTGTCTGTTAGCCTCCTATCAGAATTTGGAATTCTTGGTTGTCTCAGCGGGCTAAAGCTTCTTGGTTGAGTTGTGGGGAAGAAGACCTTGGTTTTCTTTATGCCAAGATTAAAGCTAGAAAAAACTCCTACTCTATTAAGGCTATCTCTACTCTTCAGGGGACTTTCTCATCCCATTCTAACATTGTTGTTGCTTCTATTGCTTATTTCAAAAATTTATTTAATGCGCCTAATTCTTTTCTTAGACAGGATTTCTTGCCTCCTGTGGGAAATACCATCCCACCTTCCCTTTTGGATGCTCTTCTTGCTCCGGTTTCTAATGAGGACATCAAAAGGATTATTTTTGCTGGGAAAGCCTCTTCTACTCCTGAGCCAGATGGGTTCTCTTTCCAGTTTTTTAAAACATCGTGGCATTTTATTGGGCCGTCGGTTTGTAATGCAGTTCAGAGCTTTTTTTCGACTGACTTTCTTTCAAGAGGCGCTAAAGATACAATAATTACTCTTATCCCCAAATCCTCACATGCCTCCAACATTTCTGACTACAGACCAATTTCCCTCTGTAATATGTTCTATAAAATTATTGCCAAATTATTAGCTAACAGGCTGAAGCCTGTCCTCCCTTTCATTGTGCATGAAAGCCAAGAGGGATTTATTTCCAATAGATCCTCCACATACAATATTTTGCTAGCTTCTGAGTTGTTGAAGGAATTTAAAACAGGGAAGAACTTATTTTGTGCCAAACTTGACATTAGAAAAGCATTCGATCCTATCTCTAGGGAATACCTTCTTCACAGGCTTAAGATTAAAGGTTTCCCTGATTTATTTGTTAAATGGATCAAAGCTTGCATCACTGATGTCCACTTCTCCATATGCATCAATGGTTCCTTAGAGGGGTTCTTTAGCTCTTCCTCCGGGCTACCCCCTCTCCCCTTTGCTTTTCTGCATTGCTATGGACGGGCTTTCCTGGTGCCTCCCGCTTGCTTACTTCTCTGGGATTAACTGTAGGGGGGTTTCCATTAATCATCTTATGTATGCGGATGATCTTCTTGTGTTTGGGGTTGCCTCTATACCAAATGCTAGTAAACTCAAGGATGCTCTGGATCTCTTTGCCAACTCTTCCGGTCTTCATGTTAATCTTGATAAAAGCACAATTATCTTCAACAAGAATGCCACCTTCGAATGTGAAAACTCAGCTCTTTTGGGGATTCAGAGGAGGGATTCTTTCCTTACTTATCTTGGATTACCTATCTCTCCTTCCAACCTTAAGCACATCCATTTCTCTCCCCTGCTTACTAAAGTTTCTGCGCTTTTGGATGGTTGGAAAGTGAGGTTCCTCTCTTTTGTTGGACGGGTCCAATATCTTAAGTTTACTCTGGCTAACACTATAGCCTACTGGATTAGGTGGTCTATATTACCTAAGGGTTATCGTGCTACTTTTTCAAAACTTTGTGCTAGATTCTTATATCATGGGAATACTAATGAGAGGAAGCTTCAACTTTTTTCCTGGAAACTTACTGCCTCTCCTAAAGTTTTTGGTGGCCTTGGTATTCCATATGTGAAGGCTTTATATTTTGGTACTTCTTGTGCTTATATCTGGCGTATTTATAAGAATAATACCCTTTTTAGCACTTGGGTGACGGCTAAATATGTTTCTCTCTGGAAACCGCCACCTCTTGCTGCTTCGAAATTATGGAAGCAGTTATGTCACACTGCACAGGTTATTAAAAGCAGGATTGGCTTTGCTGTTGCACCATTGTGCCAATTTTCTATGTTCTGGGACCCGTGGTGTTTGGGGAATTTCATTTCTGATTTGGTGGAGGATTGGAACTTTGATAATCAAACTGTTGCCAATTTTATTGTTAATGGGGTTTGGTGCTTCCCGGATTTCATTCCTGAAGGTGTCAGGAATTTCATTAGTGGTATCACTATTCTTGAGCAACCGGATATTCTCCTGGATGGCTCCAACTCCCCTTCTCTTCAGAACTTTACTGCCATCCTTTACGCCAATCTGAATTCTGTTAACTGGTGTAAATTCATTTTGCATAAGAAATATTCTATGCGGTTCTCTTGCTACTCCTGGATGGCGGTTCATGGGAGGTTCAAATGTGCGGATGTGTTATTGGCCCGTGGCATTGTTGTTGATCCTCTTTTCTTGTTTTGCAAATCTTTTCCGGAATCTCACCAGCACTTGTTTTTCAATTGTGATTTTTCTTTCACTGTTATTCCGGAGTTAATGCCTCTTTTTGGGAGGTTTTTTCTTAGGCCCACTCTGTTGCAAGCATTTGATTTTCTGGAGAATGTTCCTGCCTTCAATTGTTTGGAGAAACAATTCTGTTTCCTTCTCTTAAACTGCACCATTTATCATTTATGGAGAGAAAGAAACAACAGGTGTTTCTCTCATACCTGGAGATCTCCATATACTGTTGGACTGGTTATTAAAGAGGCTTTTTTGGCAAAAACTAAAATGTGGAAGAATGGAGATCAGCTCAAAGATAAGTTTCCTGGTTTTTTCTAGCCAATTTTGGCATGGGAGGTTTTGCTGGACGATGATGAGCTGGGTTAGCTCCTGGTGGATTCGTTGGATTTCGTTGGTTGTCGGTTCCCTGCGATGGCCCTTTGTGGCAACCTGGGTGCTGAGTTTTGGTTTGCTTTCATTTCCACGTGCTGAGTATTTCTGATACTGTTTTGGAGTTAACCTGTATGCCTAAGTCCTTTTGGTCCTTTGGTTGTTTTTGTTTTGGGCTATGGGACCTCTTTTTGTGGTGATTTGTTTGGTTTTTGTTTTATTCCTCACAAATTTTATCTTACTTGTAACAATTTCTATTTTTTATACATGGGCTTTGGCATCAAATTTTCCCAAAAAAAATACTTGAAATTCCCGGACAAAAAAAAGAAGAGATCATAGTTGGGCTAATGATGTTGAGATATCATAGTCTTGTGCTGGTAGTTGTAGCTGAGGGATTGTGATCACATTACCATATTCAAATAATAATGATCAAAGGACTGTAGTCAAATGACGGTGATTGAAGCACTGTAGGGGTGCTGATATATGAAGGATTATAATCCAATGATGATATGCAATAGTCTAAAAATGGTGTTTGTAGAACTGTATTTGAGCGATGATGGTCATAAGATCATAGTCTAGCTAGCAATGGTGGTAGTATGATGATAGTAGTTGAACATTAATGGTCTGCGGACAATTGTGAGTTGAAAGTGATTCGTTGGTTGTCGTCTGACAACAAAAATCAGATGTTGATGATTTCATTCATATAGAGATTTTTCATGCCCTTAAGCTTCTTTGAAACTGAAACAAATGGTCTCATTCATACAAAAAATGTCTATTTATAATTTTTGAGAGTAACATAATTCATAAATATATCAAAAATTCAGAACACTATATTGTCAACTTATATTAATTTCCTTACTAGTATATCATTCTTTTAATATTTAAGTGCTTTAAGCATTCTAATGAGAATTTGATACCTAAAAGAAGACAATGAAGAAAAATGATTCGTGTAGCCGACCCCACATAGCGGGATAAAGACTTGTTGTTGTAATGATTTGAAAAATAAGTGATTTTAGTCATGTTGGATTATTTTCATTTTGATCCTCGATTTAATCATAAGCATGCAAGATTAGGAGATCATTTAGTCCTCTAATTAATATCCCAAAGTTTTGAATAATACTTCAACAGCTTGAACTATATTCATTTAGACTTGGATCTAACCACTAGATCTTGGTGTTGATGGGCTCGTCTCATCAAAATATTTAGGTTGGATGTATGTTTAAATGTTTAGTTATATTGATTTTTGATGGCATATCAATTGCTTTCACATTTTTGACATTGAAGTATTTTTTGTCCAAAAATATTTATTTAGTCCTTAAAAAAATTCTGCAACATAAAATTATAATTTTGAAAAAAAAAGTTATTATCTCTCCCTACATCACAACGTCAACCTCCTATTGAATGATGAACCAAATAAATTTTTTTAATTATAATTTGAGCCTTCTTTGAATTTTGTATATCGATTGGAGCAAAAAATGCAAAACAACAATAACAACATCAAGCCTTTGTCCGACTACATGGGGTCGGCTACATGAATCCTTTTTCGTCATTGTGTCCGGTGAAAAGTCAAATTATATTTTTTATATTGAACTATTTGTTGTCCGAAAATACGATTTAGTCCTTCAAAAATTCAGCAAAAAAAAATTATAATTTTGAAAAAAAAAAAAGAGTTATGATCTCTCCCTATATGTGAGACCTCGTTCCCTTACTGTTCCTCTCTGACTTGGATTTTCCTCCCAGGATCGTCCGGGACGATATTGAGATCGTCCAGGCCGATCTGTACTGTTCAAAATATCGTCCTGAAACTAGTTCTGGGAACCGTCCAGGACGATCGATTTTGGTCTGATCGTCTTGGGATGATTTGACGATCGGCCGGGCCAATCAGCCTAATGATATATGAAAATCAGCTCGTTTTGAGGAGAGAGAAAATCATTTTTATAAAAACAGATATTTTGAGGAGAGAGAAAGAGAAGGGGAAAAGAGGAAAAGCTGGGTTTTGGAGGCCGCGGAGCGCTTTTGGTCCGACGCTGCTGTTGGGAAAAGTGTAGATCTCGTGGTAAGGACTCTGAATCCTATTTCATTTTCAGAGATATTGTGTTTTGATCGAGTTGTGCATTGTTTTGTGTTTTCGTAGTCGAATTTTGGACGTGATTTCGACTTGATTTGATTGACCTGCATATTGATAGCATCGCCGTGCTTTGATTTCAGTTGTAGGCTTTGGTGACCTGCTGGGCTTTGTAAGCTCATTATATGTGGTTAAAATTTTCAAGTCCAAGCAAGGCAATTGGAATGGAGTTCGATCAGAATGTCAGACGAATCCTTTCACTATTGATATCTGGGGCATCACACTACATCTCAACATGAACATCCTATCGAATGATGAACCAAATAAAATTTTATTAATTATAATTTGAGCCTTCTTTGAACTTTGTATATTGATTGGATAAAAAAAATTCTTAAAAAAAAAAAAAAATTGCTCCAAAATATTTAAAATTCATTGAAATCGACTGTGGATCGAGCCTCCGTTTGGCTCTGATTACTTTTTATTTGAGTCTAAAACGTTAAGAAATATTGCAAGCCACCTAAAAATTGTTTGAAAAGGACCATCCAATTGATTGGTAAAATGTAAAATGTTTTTATTTTATTTTATATTTTTGGGCATTTTATTCTTCTTTCAACGCACAGTTCAGGTGAGCTATTGAAAAAAACAATTATTTTTAACTAATATTTTCGTTTTAAATTCTTTAAAAAGGTTAGAATGTGATTCAATGTTCTAAAAATTTCAAATAAGTAAAAAAAAAATCATATTTTTCCCCTCTCGAATCTATAAACAATCCTCTTATTCTATGGGAGAGCCCTGGTTCTTTTATGCGGGCTCTAACTTTTTGCTTTTGTAATGAAATTTATATATATATATATATATATATATATAGCTTACTCTCAAAAAGATCTTTTAGACTATTTTGTACGCTATAATATCTTTGCTCACACGAATCCCTATTTTATTAGTAATTTATATATTTTTAATTTAATTAAAAATAAAAATTTGTATTATAATCAATTAATCATCAGATATAAAAAATATCTGACTATAGAGTCCGCTGGTCAAAGTTAAATCAGCAATCAAAATTTTCTGCACTAGCCTTGCGTGCCACGTGTCTTGGCATTATCCTTCCACGTTTCATGTATGCCACGTGTAATTACCTTGACCTACTTGCATGCCACGTTTAACGGACCCTTTCCGGAGCTTGCAGCTTGAGTGGACACGTGAGCTGAGTGAACCATCGATCTGGAGAAATTTTGTAGTCGGGAAAGCTATTCTATAAAGAGAAATTATTTCGAGCCTCAGCAACAGAAGTCATTTTTAAATTTGTAGCCGATGCTTCTTCGTAGCCGTTTGATTTTGTTGAAGACGGCGTCGATCGCCTTTGAGGCTGCGCCGACGAACCGGAGATCCGCCGCCTTCCGATTCTGCTCCGGCTCTGCTGAACCGTCCAAGGAGATGGAGAAAGGCCAAGAACAGCAGAAGCCTCCAGCCACAAAAGGGTAATTGATCATATATATAAGATTATTATTGTAATTTTCATAATGGAATTTAATATTTTTGAATAAATTGTTTTTGATCGGATGTTAGGGATATAATGTCGGATTCATTTGGGCATGAATATGCCACTCGCTCAGAGGAAGAAGGCTTTGGAGGAATTTATGGGAGTGATCAAACTTTGAAGACAAATGGAGACGACGAAGACAATAATCCCTTCACCTCAGGTTAGTACTAATTACTAACTTAATCTAAATTTCATTTTAATTTTTACTAACTTATTCATAAAAATCTGCTCTCTCAGATCAACAAAATGAGGGCCAAGGAAGTGAAATGAAGAAGGAGAAGAAAGCCCGGCAAGAAGAAAAGGAAGCTGATTAGATGTTTAATTATTGCGCTGCTAGCTAGCTCTTTTGGTAGTTCTATTGTGGTGAGAAAATATTTGTGGAAGTTCTGCTACTGTTGTTGTGTCGTCTGTGCATGTTTAATATGTTCTAATTAGCTGATTTTCTGTAGGTTTTCAGTTGCAGAATAAAGAAAAATGGTTTCTATCTATGATTTTGTAAAGTTTAGGGTTTAGCATTGATAGCTTTCGATCTTCCTGTTTAGCTGCCATCGAACATGCATGGGCGTTACTGTAGATAATGTAAAGGATTTTGAAATTTTCCTAATTTAAGCCATCAAATTATAATTATTGCCCGAAATAAATAACTATAAGCTTTAATTCAAGTAAAACTTTCATGTTTATGTAATATCCCTAAAACATTTTCGTCAAAGTTTACCTATGTGTGATAATCTGAAAAAGTATCATTTAACATCGTATGAAGTTTTATACAAATTAATTTTATTGTATAGATATATTAAAATAAATTTATCAATAAGGAGTCAAATAAATTGTTTTGAGTTAGAAGATTGATGTTTATAAGGGAAAATGTTACCATTTATCTAATTTTGTGCTATAGATGGTAAAGTAATTTTTATAATATTTGTTTAATGTTACAAAAGTTTTTTTTTTTCACAATATAATTATAGTATGATAAACATCTTATACAATGAAATATATAGGGGTAGTTGAGTTTGTTCAGAGATGATGCTCTGCATATACAGAAGAAAGACTTCAAATAATAATCATATGTAGATATCTAATATCAAAAATAGGGGGATGATGGTAATAGACATTTGTTCATAAGGGCCCCAAAATCTCACAAGTAACCAGAGAAAAAAATAATTTTTGTTTCGATTTTTTTTACATAATTTATAATGCTAGTTCTTACAAGAATTATAGATATTAATCTTACGGGTGAATATAAGAATTCAATTTTAATCACTGGCATAATAATACCTCCTAGTTGTTCGAATTCCAAAGTTTTATAATTGCATGTAAGCAACTACATCTGCAGTAATGGAATAACTTAAAATTGTAAAAAAAGAAAGTTTCTTTACAAAATTTTTTACCATTGGTAACGCAATTTAGTTACTATAGATCACAAAGATAAGTTAGAGGGTACTCATAGCATACTTACAAATAGGGGACTTTAATTTAATCTCCACATAAGAAAAATTGCTGAGGATTTCCTTTCATGAAGGAACTCAACTAGTACGTTTGAACTTATATCAACATGATTATTATTATATATTATTTTGTTCTATTTTAGCTTTCGGTTGGTTTTATATAATTGTGTACGCAATCCGAATACAGAATTGTATTCGGATGCTGCGTATTTACTGCTTATTTCACTGCGTATTTTTTGATACATTATGTTTTCTACGTATTTTTTGCGTATTTTTTGTGTATTTAGTGAGTATTATTTATTTGTTAATTATTTACCACAAAAAAAATTATGTCTCAAAAAATACGCAACAAAATAAGCAGTGTGTACGCACATCCGAACACGTTCGGATTGCGTACACCATAATTTCTCTTATATAAGTGATATGTCATCAAAAAATGATCTTGAACGGGCACAAATCTCGATGCAAAATCAAGTTGGAAACTTCCGAAATTAAAATTGGGACCATCCAAACTCTGATTCCAGCAAACTTATAGTCGAACTGAACGTCTCAGAAATACAAACCCAACGACACCAAATTCGACTCAATCTGAGCCCAAATGAGTCCAAATCAAGGACCTAAAGCGTTGTTGGAAGGTTCGAACCACAATTTGGATTATCAAACGATTTCCAAACATTACGTGCTTATAGTCAAATCGAGAGGCTTGACGAGACGAATCCAACTAGTCCAAGATCAACGATGCCTAACGTCGTTGCTTCGCCAGACCACCGCCTGATGTCGTTGCTCCGCTGGGCAACCACTGGAGGTCCTTACCTACGCCGGATCACCACTTGAGACCCTCACCTCCGCCAAACCACCACCTGATGTTGTGGCTTCGGCAGACCACCACCTAAGGCCCGGACTTTTGCCTGACCACCACTTGAGCCTCAGACTTCCACTGGATCACCACTTGAGGCCCTATGCTTCGCCAGGCCACCACCTAAGGCTCGGACTTCGACCGAACCGCCACTTGAGGCCCTGTGCTCCATAAGGACACCACTTGAGGCCCGGACTTCTGCTGGACCACCACCTAATGCAAGCACTTCTGCTGGCTCCCCACTTTGAGGCCCTGTGCTCCACTAGAACACCACCTGAGGCCCGAACTTCCGTCAGACCACTTCTTTAGGCCCTGAGCTCCACCAAGCCACCACTTGATGCTCATAGTTCTCCTATAATATTATCCTTCAACTATGCTCTTCCTGACCCCAGTCTCTTGCCGACTACGATCCTTCCGACCTCCGTCGCCTTTTATGGTCCTTCCGACCTCCATCACCAGACAACAGTTTTCCTAACTCAGTTCTCCTGCAGACTACGGTCCTTCCGACCTCTGTCGCCTACTATGTCCTTCTGGCCTCCATCACCAGACAACGGTCTTTCTGCCCATGATCTCTTGCCGACTACGGTCCTTCTGACCTCTATCTCATACAATGGTCCTTCCGACCTCCATCACCAGACAACGGTCTTTCTGACTCCGGTCTCCTGTCGACTACAGTCCTTCTGACCTTCGTCGCCTACTATGGTCCTTCCGACCTATATCGCCCTACTACTACGGTCTTTCTGACTCCGGTCTCCTATCAACAATAGTCTTTTTGACCCCAGTTTCCTGCCAACTATGATCCTTCCGACCTCTGTCACCTACTATGGTCATTCCAATCTCCATCACCAGACAACGGTCTTTTAGACCCCGGTCTCTTGCTGACTACGGTCATTCCGACCTCTGTTGCCTACTATGGTCATTCAGGCCTTCATCATCAGACAACATTCTTTCAGACCCCAGTCTCCTGTATACTACAGTCTTTCGGACCCCTGTTTTGTGCGGACTATGGCTCTTCCAACCAAACAAACATGTCTATGTTGATTATTGTAACACCCAACATGTAATGCGATATATATGATGTACATTTGTACCATCAAGACAAGGTCTTCTCCCTAAGAAGAGTCTCATTTGTAATCGATTGCAAATACTAGTGGATTCTTTCAAACTGGGCCAAGCCCCGTGGGTTTCCCCCCTTTTTAGGGGTTTCCACGTAAAAAAACTCTGGTGTCTCTTATGAATACTACACTCTCTCTTATCTGATTGTGTGCTGGATCTTCGTACAATGCTAAGACGATAAACTATATATTTCTCTACCGCCGCGAATACTCTAGAACGCAACAATAAGTAAAATGGTTCCCTACTAATTAATTAAATACTTCATTGTAACATTAGATTTTTCTAAATTATATTTTTCTTCAAAAAGATAAATACTTAAATTACTAACAATCAAGTACGGGTCAGAAAATTTTAGGATTAAGTGCCTCTTCTAGATCAGCCGAGAATTAATCATGTCATTAAGCTCCTTTCGAGAGTGACAAGGAATGAATAACACACAACTCTCCTTGGCCTATTGGTTGAGGACTTAGGCTTCTAACTAAGAGGTTCAGTGTTCGAGTCTATGTGTATGCGTTGTGTGTGTGAGTTTGCCTTAAATGGCCTAAACGTCAAAAAAAAAAAAAAAAAAAAAAAAAACCCGATCAAAAAAAAAAAAAATCCTTTTCGAATCCCAGGGTAAGACCCAAATGACTAATTCCGTCTAATCGGAACTGATGAGTTCTGATGACAACAAAATTTTATATATAACTGATTTGTGCTTATACTTTGCCTTTCTGAGGAGTGATCGAAATCGAGAGATGTCATCGACTAAGAAAAGGCAGCGTGTGGGGAGCAGCGGCCGCCTCTCCTCCTATACTGACACAGGGTGTGGGGAACCCAAATCCGAAGATCCAGCCCCGTTGCCAGCGCTTTCCCTCCGCCGCCTCACCACCAGCATAATACCTGGCGGCTTTAATGATTCCACCACCGCCGACGTCCTCCTTCGTCTCCAGCTTGGGGGATCACCGGATTTCTCCGTTGGAGATCCTTCATCCACCTCCGATCCGGCCTCCTTACCCTCCCTCGATCTTCACCTCCACTCCTCTATTATATGCCGCTCCCGATACTTCGCTGCTCGCCTCTCAGACCGATGGCTTCGACCAGATCCTTCCATCCCCGTCGACTCTTCTTCATCTGGTCTCATCCGCCTCACTCTCAAGATGCCAAGCCCCGGCAACTGCCGCCGTCCATTCGACGCTCACGTCGCCGTCCTCCAGCTCCTTTACACCTCCGATTTTCCCTGCTCGATTATCTCCGTCTCCGCTGCGCTTGAAATGCTACCCGTCGCGCTGGAGCTTTTATTCGATGATTGCGTCCGTGCCTGCGTGCGTTTCATCGAGGCCGTTCCGTGGACGGAGGAAGAGGAAGAAGGGGTTCTCAGTTTGATCCCCTTCCTACGGGAAGAGGAGTCGGAGAATCTCCTTGCTAGGGTTTTCCCCGCAGCCACGACGGCCGGGGATGGGAAGAATATATCAGAGGAGATGCTTTACGGCTTGATTCTCAAAGTGATACACAGCAATCCGGGGTGGGCCTCGTTAAAGGCCTTCATGGCGAAGCTTTTGAGGGACTATTCGTCGCGTGATTCGGTGAAGAGAGTGCTTGATCGAGCTTTTCTGGAGAGTTTGGGGACGGTGAAGGAGTTGCTTGGAGAATACGCTAGTCCTGACTTCAGGGTGGCTGGGGATAACGATGAGACCGAGGCGATTCAGCGCCTGAAGATACACACCGCCAAGGTTAATGTGAGGAACCTCTTATGGCTTGTGGACAGGATGCTTGAGCTTAATGTTGCGGATACGGCGGCCAAGGAGTGGAGCGATCAGTCAGCGCTTACGGCTGACTTGCAAAAGACTTTCCGGGAAGATACATGGAGAAATATTGCACCGGGCTTGCCGGCCTTGGTTCTGAGATGTACCAGCCGACTGGCCAATGCAATAGCAGCAGGATCAATTTTGGCTCCTCGACAGGTTTTTTTTTTCAGAACCTTACTCTTATCATTCTTAGGTCATCTCCAACCGAACGCTAAACGAGTGTATGGAGTCATTCCGTCGGTTCGTCGCTCCAACCGAACTCTAAAATTTTCGCCATTTAATCGCAGGTGAACAGTGCGACGCCAATATAATATTGGCGTCGCACTGTTCACTCACGCCATTTTTTGCTCTCAATCGGAAAAACGTGCGAAAGGGAAAGCGATCGTTACCTTCTCAAAAACACTTAAAATGGCGTTCGATTGGAGCATCACCGCTCCATTTTGGAGTTTTGCATTACTTTGCCGTGAAAAATGAAATTTTCGGTTGGAGATGCCCTTTAGTCACACCATCATGATTCCATGAATATTTCATTTGAAACTGCCAAAACTTAATTGTCTTGGACGCTTTATTATTTCCCATATATTCATAGTCATAAGCTTATGGCTTATAAGTGAAAAACAATTCCTTAGTAGGGCGGCGGCAATAGAAGCAGGCTACACCCTCATATTTATCACGAGACACCATGATTATAATAGGATATATTTGAGTTCGCAAGTAACCCTAAGGGAAATACTTGAGCTCGCAAGCAACCCTAACTACAATTGGTGAAAACAGGGAGCAAAATTGCTGTTTACAGCAGGAAAAAAAAAACAGCAGTGGACAACAGGTTTATTGGGGAAAACAGTAGAAAACTGATAGAAAAAGAAGGATTCTACTAGTAGATGCAGGAAAACAGCAAAAGATACATGTTTCTTCTATTCGAGAGGATGAAATAACTCTCCAATTTTCTAGCTAAGCCTAGAGCCCAAGAAAACCAACCTTAGATCTCAAATTCCTTTTCAAATTCAAGATGAAAATCTAATTCTAGTCATTAGCCACTAATTAAAGTAAAAGAAGAAATACAAAATCCCTAAACAGCCCCTTCATTCAAATTTTCCTCCTAAACACCTATTACATTAATTGCTTGGGCCCACTAAGGCAGCTGCCCCTCTCCCTTGGTTTCGCCCCCCTAGGCCGGCGGCTGTAGACTTGAACCGATCTAGGTTGGACTGATTTAATCGGCCCCTCCTGAGCCGACCTAACAGATTAACAGTAAATTCTATCTAAAAAAATATCTACATCTAACCAGCAATCTCTTAACCGATTTTTTTTTCTTCAATACCCTCAAATTTAGAAAAAAAAAAAAAAGTAAATTCATATCATTCTATAAATTGATTGTATCTCTTACATTCAATATTGCATTATGAAAGTGCTTATGAGAGAGTAGTAATAAATTTTTATTTTCATCATCAGCCACAATATCAATTTTTATTAAATCACTTTCTATGGAATTATGCTTATTATTATGTAATTTAATGGATATATTTTCATGCATTTTTAGCAATTATATTTTCTATTTTGATAAATTTTATTGAAAAGGCTTTTGGTGATTTTAAAAAGCTCAAACTTGAAGCAGGCTACACCCTTGTATTTATCATGAGACTTACTTCTACCATGATTAAAAGTAAATTTTATGTCAAAAATATCTACTTCTAACCAACAATCTCTTAGCGTATTTTTTATCTTCAACAATCAAATTTAAAAAAACAAGTAAATTCATAACATCCTATAAATTGATTGTATCTCTTACATACAATATGGTTTTATGAAAGTGCTTATGAGAGAGTAGTAATAAATTTTTATTTTCATCATCAACCACCATATCATGTTTTATTAATCTCTTTCTATGGAATTATGCTCATTATTATGTAATTTAATGGATATATTTTCATGCATTTTTAACAATTATATTTTCTACTTTGATAAAGTTTATTGAGAAGGCTTTTGGTGATGTTAAAAAGCTCAAACTTGAGTTATAATCCTTTCACTGTTTCACAGTTATTTTCTTTAAGATTTCCATAAGATATCATTCTCTAAACACAGTAGGGTTGTTGAGAGATTTTTATCATTCATGTTTGATGTGTCATCTTCACTCTTTGTCTTAGGCATGTTTGCATGCTGTGTAAGTGCTTTCACAAGTCCTTACTTGAACAAAGTATCATGTATCTTGATCTTCCGAAGCTCAAAACTCTTCAAGTTATTACTTATTGATCTTAAACTTTCAATTGAATTTTTTTATTAGGCTTTAATGCCAATTCTTAAGAAAAATATATTTTTTTTTATGCGGAAGTGCCTATCCTAATAGAATATGTTGAGACACAAATGATTCCAAATAACATTGAGCAACATACAATAACACCATATTTAGGTATTGCTGCCAAGCTAGCTTACCTCCATGATCACAACAAAGTGTCAGTGGTTTTCATTATTTCATAATCATGTACAATGAGAATATCTCATTCCCTTTTGTTCACTCTCGCTTTTCCCTCTTCTCCCTTCTCTAGTCTCTTCCATTTTATATTTTACTCACAGTAAAATTAGTGCTCATCTCACCATAGATATAATGCAATAACTTTCTATTCCCCTTCTTATCTTCATAGCCAATTGTCAGTGTTAGCAATTTTCATTATTTCACAATCAAGTACAATGAAAAGATCTGAAGGCCACACAAAGTATTAGTGGTTTTCACTATTTTAGACTACACAAATTGTTAATGTTTTTCACTATTTCAAAATCAGATGTAATAAAAATCTTTCAATCCCTTTTGTTTACTCTCTCTTTTCCTTATCCTCCCCCTTCTACTCCCTTCAATTTCGTACTTTACTTGCTGCAAAATCAAGTCTCATTTTGCGATAAATATTACATAATAATTTTTTATTCCTTGCTTCCCTTCTTATGTTTATAACCAACTGTCAATGAGGCTTACTGAGATGCCAAAATCTAGCCCCTTTTTCTTTACTAGACTAGATGTCCGTTGCTGAACCTCCAAAACTTGTTGCCTTTGGCCACACTCACCTATTTCAACTCTTAAGATGATTTCAAATAGTATTTACCTGCTGATGAAGATTGTCAGCAACTGATGAGGGACACAAATTGCTTAAGCTTGTATGAACACAAACTTAAATTAGAATTTGAATCTACTCCAAATTTTAAAGCCTAGCAAATTTGATATGTTGAAATTGATAAATCAATCGAACAAAAATTTTGCCCATGATAAAGTATATAGCTTAATTATCCCAACAAATAATTTAAATTGTCATTGATTTTATTTTTTGGTTCTTGCTTTTTTTAATCATGGATATTTCTACAGGGAATTCTAGAGCTGTGCTCATATTCATTTGAAAATTTTCAACTGTATATTTTGTGGGTGCCTGAATTTTCCAAGCTGAGTAGAATTGGTGGAATCGATATGTTATATCTATGATTGTTGTTATTATCCTTCTTTGGCATTGGTTATTTTTACTCTTGCTTGGATGGACGTGTATATTGAGAATTGCGATTGTTGTGATTTTTATCTAACGACAGTATGCGACCTCTCTTAAATGCAAAACTTGTGGCTGCACCTATTTGTGACTATTTCATTCGATCTAGCATTTCTATGATTTTCAACTTCGTGCTTTATTTTCCTCTGTTCGTTTGTCCTCAATTTGCGAGTCTTTAGTTTTTTTTTGTGACCCCGCAGGAATTGGAAGCCATTTTTTGTGAGTGCGAGATCGATTGCCTTTTTTTTTTTTTCTTGCAACAGGGTTCTTGTAATTTATGTGTGAAATTTGTAGCTACTTTATGCTTGTATTGTGCTTTTCTATTGAGACATGCTTTGTGACTTTCTATTGATGCACGATTTTGTCGAGATCATCACTAGCGACATTCATTGTGATTTTTATGGGATCATTGGCTTGTACAACACAATATACTTTATTATTGATAAAGTTTTAGTTATTTGTGTTTTCCCTTCTACTTTTAGGAGTTGAATCCTCGATCAAGCGAAAGAGTCAAAGATTTCTAAGCAGGTTGTATACTTGTACAAGCATGAGTTTAATTCCACCGCACTGATGACTTTATTCTCTTTTAGATTTTCAGTTTTGAACTGAAGTTTGAACTATTTCTTGAAAGTTAATATGCCGTTGAAGGGGCATAGTTTGCTCATGCTTTATCTACAAACCTTGATTGCAAAGGGTATGTATGAAGGGAAAACACGTGGATCGTTGGAGCTTGCATTTTTTTTTTAATTCTAAGTATTTTTTAATTATTTGTTAATACATGAATTACCAATTTGAAGATTACCCGAAAGATATGACAGTTAGTAAAGGGATTGGATTTGCTGTTTTAAGGAGAGAAATGTAGAGAACTAAGCTGTGAACATGTTATTCTTGTTGCCTGCTGACAGTTGTTCCACTTATCAGACATTTTTATGTGCATTTTTATGCTTGTGGATATTAGACTGACTTGTAATTGTATAGAGTTTTGCAAACTTAGATTTTGTCTGTGACAGCTTTATTTTTTTCTTTTAAAACAGTTTTTTAATATAAAATTTTTTAGTTAATTTTTTTTTTTAACTAAAAGCTACTTTAAAAAGCACTAAAAAAGTTGTCTCAAATGAAGCTTTAATGACTTGTATTTTGCATCTGGCGAGAAGAATTTCTTTTTTGTGAACCTTTCTGTTTTTTAACAGGTAAGAATGGAGCTTGTGAAGCATTGGTTACCTGTGCTAAATGTTTGCCGGGAGATTGTTTATGGGGCACCATCAGAAGTTTATCAGGATCTGGAAGAAACATTTTTGCAAATCATATCTACCCTGCCTATTTCTGATGCTCAAAATCTACTGCAAGAATGCCTCTGCTTCACTCGTAATGTTGACAATTGCCCGCACCTCACCCTTGCTTTCACAACCTGGTTCAGGAGAGCAAATAGGCATCAGCTTGATGATTCTATGAGTTAGGCAAAATCTTTCATATGAGGTCATCTAAACAGATCCTGTTTGTTTATATTTGCATGATCACCCTTCTCCTTTGGATTTTTATATATGATTTTCCTTTGTAGGCTCTTTGTACAAAGCTCTGTTGTGCGTCCTAAAGTTTCCCAATCTGCATAAATTTGTTTGGCCGCTACTACTTCAAAAAATTTCTTCAAAAAAAAAAAACATTTAGACTTAATTTCCTTTGCAGAGCTCGGTATCTACTTGACGAGAATTAGCAATAAGGAGCTGGAGTTTTAGGAGAATTATTAGCAGAAAATCTGTAGTTAGTGATTGAGAATGTCATTGGCTCATTATTATTTTTCCCCTCTAAGAAAATATCGTAAGAAAAAGCATTTGAAATGAACTTATAATGTGACTACAACAAACTCAGGCTCTCTCTCTTCTTCGGCTACTCTTACAACAATCTAGTTGTTCTCCATGCTATTTATGCTATTGTTTTCTTTTCACTTTCCATAACAAATGGGAACACAGCACGGTGGTTGAAATCAATATTCTGATCGAAATTCAAAGCAAAAACAAGATTTAATTATGATCGTTAAATCTTAATAATTTTAATCATGAGATCTCAACATGTTATAGATAAACTTATAATTATATTTAAAAAAAAGGGAAAACATTCAAATTTGGCCTTACGTTAAGGTGAATTATTTCAGAATATTGAAGAGCGCACATTTAATTTTTTATATTATGTTGCCCATCCTTACCTTCACATATTTAAATAATACCATGTCTATAATTATTAAAAAAAAATAGTAAATTTATGTGTATTGGAAATATGTTGTTCCCATCTCTTTTCATTAGAAAATTATACATGCAAATAATATTCAGTAAAAGGCACCATATGGAGACAGTTCTGTTTTTGTTATTTTCTTTTCAAACGTCTATTTCGATATATAAACAAATTAATTTATCTGAATTTTAAATTTCCGAAAGTGGTTCATTTCCTTCACAAATTTGGTGAGAAAATCGTCTTCTATTCTTGTTTCTTTCTAAAAAAAAAAAAGAAAAAAAGTTGCTTCAAGATTATGAGATTTCATTTCTCTATTTATTGATTTATGACTAAAGATATGATCTTTTTTGTACTCCAAATTTTTTACAGAAGAAATTTAATTAAATCGCATAAATGTTGTTTCTATATTTTTATTTTATCATTTTCTAATTTTCTTCCATATGTATATATTCTTCGTTACTGCCAAATAGGGTTTTGAAGACTTCAGCTGCAATAGAAGTAATCGTATTCATTTTATATGCCCTTCAAAAACATCGAATCAAACAGCCCATAATCAATAACAAAAAAAAGAAACAAAAACAAAAAAAAAAATTGCTAAAATATACAAAATAAATATATTTTCACGCATACATTGTGGCCTACTGAACATATATTATAAGAAATCATATAGTGATTCATTGATAGCATCATTATATATTTTTGTGATATTATAATTTATTGATATAATATATCAACTTTATATATATATATATAGAGAGAGAGAGGATTAAATCACTTTACCTTAAGGACAACGGGGTACGGGTCTCTCTTCTATATCATTTGTGAAAGTCATTTGGAGACTTCTCAACACTGGTAATCTATTCTACATTCATTGTAGAGATTCCTATGGGGTCTACAACAAAGTTTATCCATTAAGCTTTCTCTTTATCTATTCTAAAAAGGCAAAAAGCTCTTTTTTAGTGATCTTCCTCAGGTGCAATGGTCGAAAGTATTTTGCTTTAAAAGTTTATCCATTAAGCTCTCTTTATTGTTGGATTGCTTGCTTCGAAGGATTAAAAACTGGTAATAATGAGAGAGGCTAGAGGCATTACGGTTAATAAAAATCATGTAATTTGGAATCCAAAAATCATACTCATTTCTTCTTTGGGCGTGCCCTCTAGTTCTGCAGTTAACCAAGAATTTACTTGTGGATGTACGGTTCTTTCTGCTTGAGGCTTCTTATTATCAATTATTGGGGATAGCTCTAAATCTTACAACAATCTAGTTGTTCTCCATGCTATTTATGCTATTGTTTTCTTTTCACTTTCCATAACAAATGGGAACACAGCACGGTGGTTGAAATCAATATTCTGATCGAAATCTTTGAAGCATTTTTGCTTAAAAACCTATCTACCAACCCTGCAGAGGCCACCTTCTTTCAGGATCTGGAAGCCATGAAGACCTCTTCTTCTTCCTCTCCTTCTCCTCCTCCTTCCTTACGCCACGGTCGCCATCGACCTTGTGGAGGAAGAACACATGGCCCATAACTTTTCTGACCCAGCCTCCCTTCTGCAGCCGCTGCACCAGCTTCGGTTGCCTCGGTTCCTCTGAGAAGAACCTCATGGACTGCGAGAGCCGCTCGTAGCCCGGCATAGGCATGAAGGCGGTGCCTTGTGCTGTGAGAGTGAGTCTTGCAGGAGGCTAGAGCTTTTCCACTGGCAGCCGAGCCAGTTACTGCTGGACTGGCTTTTCTCTGTAACTTGAAGGTATGCATTCTGCCCTCTCCTCCCTCGTTTTGATTTTCTGAAGAATGAGGGGATGTAGTCATCATCTTCTTGGCTTCCTAATTACTTATATTTCTTTTCTTTCCGTTGACTTGTTATTTGCTGGCTTTTTCTTCTTTTTCTTTTTTATATAGTCCTTAGTCATAATTTAATTTAGGTAAATTTAGATACATATTATCATATACTATTCTATTAACATATTTAACACTTGAAATTCTAATATTACATACATATCACCATAGTTCAATTTCATATACATATCATCATAATTCAATTCCATTTACATACCACCATAGTTCAATTTCATATCAAATATGAGTGATAAAAATAAAATATATAAGTGATAGGAAGGAAATATGAGTGTCATATTTGATATTAAAATAATATAAGGTGATATGTTTATAATATTAAAATTTTTAAGTGTTAGATATGTAAATAGGATAGTATAAAATGGAATGTACGTAAAAATCCCTTTAATTTATTAGAAATTTGCGTCAAATATGATATATATACACATACATTGATCATATACTGTTTATCCATTTGGCCTTTCCCTGGTCAATTTAATATGACGACATGAAGAAGAGATTCATAATTATTTATTACCAAACAAATATGCTTGTCACAATCTCAAAATCAACAGCTGGCTACAATTATTCTTAATTCCACAATAAATTTTAAGTTTTTTATCAAAAAAAAAATAAAATAAAATGGTAACACCTAACTCCTAATTAGAGGTATGCCTTGATCGATTAAATTGAATTCTATTTTTGAAAAACAAATTAATATGAAGTTTGTTAAAAAAAATAATTAAAATCAAATTAAGACAAATTAAAAATTAACTCATGAAAAATTAAACAAGATTTAATTATGATCGTTAAATCTTAATAATTTTAATCATGAGATCTCAACGTGTTATAGATAAACTTATAATTATATTTAAAAAAAGGAAAAACATTCAAATTTGGCCTTACGTTAAGGTGAATTATTTCAGAATATTGAAGAGCGCACATTTAATTTTTAATATTATGTTGCCCATCCTTACCTTCACATATTTAAATAATACCATGTCTATAATTATTAAAAAAAAAATAGTAAATTTATGTGTATTGGAAATATGTTGTTCCCATCTCTTTTCATTAGAAAATTATACATGCAAATAATATTCAGTAAAAGGCGAGAGAGGATTAAATCACTTTACCTTAAGGACAACGGGGTACGGGTCTCTCTTCTATATCCACTACTAATATCATTTGTGAAAGTCATTTGGAGACACTTCTCAACACTGGTAATCTATTCTACATTCATTGTAGAGATTCCTATGGGGTCTACAACAAAGTTTTAGGGTTTAGGTCTCCTTCAGCTGGAAAGAGCTAAAGCTTAACGCCACTTCTATGCATCATTGGTTCTCCTTTACTATTGAGGACAGTTCTCTTATCTCTCTTTTCAATGGCTTGAGGATTAATGATTGTTCTTTTGAGGAAATTTGGGAGTTAATAGTCGTAGATTGTTTAATTTGCATGTTGATATTAAACTCAACTCTATCGTCCAAATTGGGAAATAAGGTATACCATATTTGCATGTTGATATTAATGATAAAAAATTGCGGAATGTGGAAGATTCTCGTTTTTTCAAAAGCCAAAAAAGCTCTTTTTGGTGATCTTCCTCAGGTGCAATGGTCGAAATTATTTTGCATTAAAAGTTTATCCAATAAACTTTCTCTTTATTGTTGGATTGCTTGGCTCTAAGGATTAAAAATTGGTAATAATGAGAGAGAGACTAGAGGCATTACGGTTAATAAAAATCATGTAATTTGGAATCCAAAAATCATACTCATTTCTACTTTGGGCGTGCCCTCTAGTTATGTAGCTAACCAAGAATTTGCTTTTGGATGTGCAGTTCTTTCTGCTTGAGGTTTCTTATTATCAATTATTGGGGATAGCTCTAAATCTGATCACTATATGATCATAAGACTGTATATCTAACTAATTAGGGCCATTGCTTATACTATTCAAACAGAAATAAATTATAGATTATATTAAAAATTTTACTTGTTGCTAAAGTCCAAGTTGCTTATAAAATGAGGTGGTGGAAATGGAAAGAAAATTAACCCCTCGAGGTCAGTGAGATCCTAAACTTTTGGAAAAAAAAATATGCTGCGAGGATTTAAATGGTTGATTGGAGGATTTATTTTTTTCACTTGGTTTTCGCTATCTTCTGCTCTGCCATTTCGTTTTGTCTCCTTTTGCAGTTTTTCTCCAATTTGCCTTAATGATCTAAACTGTAGCAGCTCCAATTAGCCTTAATGATCCAATGCTGCAAGGGTTTAAGCAGTTACAGAAATCAAATGGATACTTGATGACCATGGGATGTTCACAACAAATGAGATCTTCACGATGCTATTAAGGCACTTCCCAAATAAAATATAACGTAGCAATGCATCCAATGAACCTAAGCACAGGTCCTAACTTTAAGTTAGTATTCTACGAGAAAAAAGTATATCAAACAAACTTACAATGCGCCAAAAACTGATGAATATGTTTGCATTAGTTGTTTGATACAAATGGAAATTATGAACTAAAGTTTATTAGCTTCAAAACGATAAACTGTCTCTAGCAAACTTGGCTTCGCATAAAGCCAGCAGAACTTGATCACAAAGGTAAGGCGAGTCCTATGATACAAATAAAATAAAACAGATGTCAGGCTTACTAACATAAATCAACCATTCAGTATCACTAAACATGAAAAGCATTTGTTTAATCAGTGGCGGATCCTATTTAGAATGCTTAATTTAGATCAAAATGTCACACAACAAAAATTTGATTTATGAAAATTAATTTGATTTTATTTTATTTTTCAATTTATTATTTAAATTCACAGATATTTTAAATCATTCATTATCGTCTTAAACTCTAATATTGTTAATTTTAGAGTTTAAGACGATAATGAATGAAGATACAAACACAAATGACACACAAACTAACACCAAAGCACATACTAAAAAGATAAAAGTTATAAAAAATCGAGGAACAAAATAAAGTATAAGAATGTTGATAGAAGATCCATGGTCTTTGTTCTTCAGTCAATCATGGGCCTCTAGTGATGAAGAAAATCTTTAAGGCATAAGATTTTCCTCACGAAATTATAAAGTTAGGATGCAAAAGAACAGGCAAAAAGATCAAAATTAATAAAACTATCTATTTAAACAAAACTAGTCTATTTTTACATAATTTAGATAAAACTTGTCTATTTAGAAAACAAGTAAAACTTGATTCAAATGATAATGTAAAGATGGTCTAAATCTCAAACTAATCAAGAAATTATAATCAAAATGAAATGACAAGGCGACTAGGATTTACACCGAAAAAAGGAAAAGTAGATTGTAGTAATTTTGATCAAATTTCAATACTACAACAACAACAACAACAACATCAAGCCTTTATCCCACTATTGGGGGTGGATTACATGAATCCTTTTTATTATTGTATCGTGTTAAAAGTTAAATTCTCATTTAAATCTAATAAAGAAAGATCATTTCTAATATTTTCTAACCAAGTCTTTTTAGGTCCACCTCTATCTTTCTTAACATAAGTCAAATCTAATACATTTACTTTCCTAACTGGGTCATCGGGAGGTTGTCGTTTTATGTTATCGAACCATCTAAGACCACATTCTCTAATCTTACCTTCCACTGGAGCTACTCCAACCTTTTCATGTATATGATCATTTCATATCCTGTCTCTAAGAGTAAAGCCACTCATCCACCTGAGCATTCTCATCACTACAATATTTAACTTAATATTATGCTTCTCTTTTAAATGGCCAACATTATGCTACATATATATCTTTTACCCTCCTTCGTATCTAATCTATTATATAAATCATTAAAAGTTAAAATCTTTGCATCAAATATTGCTTTCTTAAACTCCTTATGGGTCTCTTTATATTTTTTCAATTATCAGAATTTTTACATCTAAATCAATTTTTATAACAAATCTTCTTATTTTTTATCGTTTCTTGCATATTTTTATTGGATTCATGTCATTATTGTTCGACAAGTTTTACGCTGGCTGTCGACTACCTAACGCAACCCTCCACTTTTCCTTTGATACTCCAATCACATTTTTTGCAACATTTTTAATATCACTAGCTACTTTTTCCTACATAATATTAGTTTCCTCATGCACAAACAAAATCTTAAGATCTAATATCTTACTCTAAAAAAAAAGTAGACCAAATTTCAATCACTCACAAAAAATAACACAAAGCATATATGTAAAAGGAATAAGGACATAGATCACCAAAGAAGATCTCTGTCTCACACCATTACAAGGAAAAATTTACCCGAAAAAGTCGTGGACAATATTTGCTACAAACTCAAAAAATTTGCATCCAATTAATACATTTAAGTATGAGATGAATCTGGAATATTAAGCCAAGACTGAACTTTAATGCCTAGAGACCTCTGATTTATAATAAAAAATCATTTCCACTAATGGAAGTTCCACAAAATCCAAACCTGGCCGAAAACAACAAGTTCTGATATCAGCAATCTTAGATGCTAGCTAAAACAACAATTCAAATTCCATCCGACACAAAAGAAACACCTTTTGATCTCCAGCTACAGTGCAAATCAGAAAAAAGAGAAACAAATAGCTGAATCCCAGCTATAACACAGAAATGGGAATAAAATGAAACATGCAACCGAAGCCTGGCTACAGTGCAGAACCCTGAATAGAAGGAAAAAAAAGCCTAAGCCCAGCTATAGTGTGGAACAGGACAGAGAAGGAATTCGAGGATTTGAAACTTGACTGAAGAAAATCACATATATGAGAGAAACCAAGCAGCCCATAGCAATCATACAAGGCAGCAGACAAAAAAACCCCAAAGGGAAAGAAAAACATATGAATCACAAGTTAAACAGAACAACTTCCAAATCAACAAGCACCAAAGAAAGGCAAAAAAGCACATGAATACAACAAGATCCTTCCAAATCAATAATTGGACAAAAACAGTGGCATCGCTGAAATAGTAAATCATATGGGAGCTGAATCAAATCATCTTACTGTCTAAGTAGTAAACCAAAACTAACAAAAGTAATCAAAATATTAGAAAACATATCACATTCTCATAGGCGTGCTCAATATTGCTCATCATAAGCATGCTACTTGAAAAGCCATAAAAGCAACTCAAATTCAAGATAACAAAGTGCTTGGCTTCAACCCTCATATCATGCATTCTCGACAAATATAAACCTTCATATTTCCATCAAATTGAACCGACTTGGAAAATTTTACCTCCAAATATCACTTAAAATAGTTTCTTGAATTAAAATCACAAAATCCTGTTAAATATTAGATTTGAATTCACAAGGAGCATGTGGAAAGAGAGAAGAATACAAGGCATTGATGACAAGTTCATGAAATACAGTCAAATCAAATACATTGAACGTTGGCCTAATATCATAGCTTGTAGATGAAAGAATACTTGTTTTAATAATTATAGGCATCGCTAAGTTCACGAGTATCCGGCTCTGAAACAAATTGCTAGCTTCATAGAGCAAGAAAATTTTTTGCTGCATATTATTGATTGAGAGGAGTCCCCTATATATAAGCAAATATACCGAATACAAAAGGCATGAAATAAAGAGGAAAATATTCTCAATCATAAGGATATAAAAACATATGAACTACAAATCATCTAATAAGGGCTTTCTTAAAATAATAGTTCCTATCTCATATTCTCCAACTCTCCCCCTCACACCAAAGAAAATATGTGAATAAGCTCCAAGGTATTGCATAGCTTGAAAAACAATAGTGGACAAATATCTTTAGTAGAAATATCTAACATTATGCTGGAGCTCAGAAAATAAGGAGTAACCATCTTCATTGAAAGTAGTGCATCTCGAATAAAATGGACATCAATATCAATGTATTTTATTCTTTAATGAAACATAATATTATAAGAAATGCGGATGGCAACATGAATATCACAATTTAGAACAATAGGTTGATTGATTGGAAAATCATTTTCCCCTTGGAGAGTCTTAACGTGTGATATGCTATAAAGCCTCCTGGCATGTCTTAGGAATAGAAAGGGTTGACAAATAGGGAAAAACATCAAAAGCTATTGGAAAGATGGTCAAAGGACATAAAAGACTATATAAGACGATCAATACAACATCTTTTATCCGTCCAACGAGCAATGGGCACATAAAGATCGAAGACTCTCTAGGATGAGAATGCTAGGTCACATCAAATAATGTGGTTAAAGGAGTTACTATGGATGTCGAGCAAGTCTTACATGTGTATGCTTAGAGAAGTGGATTCATGAGGAAGAATAACAAGTGAATAGGATGAATTAAGAGTCAACGACCTAGAGAGTGGATTCATTAAATGTGACATCTATGGAGGTATAATCATAGCAATTGGTAGGGTAATAATGACAGCCTTTTTTAGTGAAAAGAAAGATCAATCCATGAATCATAAAATAGAAATTGAACTAAATAAAAAATAGGCTTTAGATGAATGAAACAAAGTTTGATTAGCTAATAAGCAACTTTAGTAGGTGTAAGATTAATAATAATCTAATACTATTAGTGATGTAGGACGAACATGCAAAGATGAATTACTTTAAATAATTCGCACACTTAATATTCCTAGAACAAATAATTATATCTTAATGGTGAATTTAAACGACACAATAAAACACAAAGAGCGGTAAGACAAACTTAGGCCGAATCACGCGCGTAAAAGTTAAGATCATAAAACAATCAAGTTAATCTAACGTTGCATACATGAATGGTTTCAACAATAAATCCCTATGCTAACAATAAGATTAGTACTATGAAATGACCATCACACAGTTCTACTAAACACTAAGCTTTAGCGTAAAATAATTGGCATGATCGTCATAAATCACATTAAAACTATAATTGATGACTAAACTAAGGAGATAAGAGAATTGGAGGGGAGTTTACATAAATAATCAGAAAATACGTAGTTCCCGCGGTTGTAGGAAGACTTGGGAGGAAGTAGGAGGCATTCAAGAACCTTCCTGAAGGTGTGATCAGCGATCTGGAATATCCGGATAGTGTTTGAAGACCTTCTAGCGGGCTGGACAGCAAGAAAACATGTGCAGATTTCCCTGGACATCAAACTACCCAGTGGGAAGTAGCTTGGACAGCTCCAATGTGGTATGGCTTCCCAAAGTGTTGGACAGCATGTTGCAAACACTGGACAGCAGTCTGAAATTCCTAGCTGCCTTGAACAGCCTTCGGAAGTCTCTCCAATTGATGGGACAACAAGGGAATGGTGCGGAGCCCTCTGGACAGCAATCACAGCAGTTGGTACAGCTACCTGGACTCATGGAAGGCTCTGGACAGCACCCAATAAGGATCCGCCAGGATTCGGCCTGCTCCTGGTGCTGCTGGACACCTTGGACAACAACCTGCGACTTTCCTACGTGTCGTTCCTGCGTGCCGGTTAGCAAGGAAAATTGCTGTAATAAGTAAAGGACAGCAGGTAGAAGTTTAGGGGGAGGTTGCGGGCCACATGTAGAGAGTTTAGGGGAATCACGTTTGCATTAATTGGAAGAGAAATTTGAATTTTGACATTCCAAAACAATTCCAAATGTGGTTGGGAAGGGGGGGCTATTAGGGGAATAGATGGGGAAGTTCAAATTAGGAATTAGAGATTAGATTGATGAGAGAAAAGGAAGAAGGATAGGGCCGGCCATAGAGAAGGATGAGAAAGCGTCTAGGTTCGATGTATGTGGTCCCCATGCAATCAATTTAATGATATGATTAAATCTGAATTAAATTCAGATTTTAGAGATTGAATGGGTTTCCAAAATAGGATTCATTATTATGGGATTAATTTGAAATTCAAATAAGTTTGAATTCAAATCAAGAAGTTTCCATATTAATAGAAAGATATTTTAGGAAAGTAATTAAGGGGGGATTTGAATTTTGAAATTCAAAATCCATGAGAGATTTGGAGGGGATTAAATTTGAAATTTTTATTTCAAATTTAAAGTGGTGAGAGCTCAATGAGGAAACAACACAAGCCAAGCCCAAGGAAGAGGGGCCGACAGCATGAAGAGGAGGGAGGGGATTGTGGTAAGTGTTTTATGAGCTTCCAAAACAAGCTTGGCCAATTAGGAGGGAAAATAATGAGTCCTCTCTAAATTGAATTTAGATTGGATTCATAATTTGAAAACTTTCCTTAATTGGATTTTGCAAATAAGGAAAATTTTTTAATTTCAAAATTTTTTAACTCCTTTCTTTATTTCAAGAGCCAATTTAGGGAGTTATTATGACGATTAAAATCATCATAATGATTTGAGATGTGGGTGGTGCCGGCGGTCAAGAGGGAAGAGGCGGGTTTGGCTTTGGGTGGAGGTGGCTAGGAGCTAGGCCGGCGGGTGGGTGGGATTGTGGAAGGGGAATCTGGTGGGGATCAAGGGGTATTTGGTGGCGGAATGAAAGTGGAGGGATGACAAGTCTACGGTGGGGAATAGACGGAGATAGAATAGAAAACATAGACGAAGACCACGAGCCATGAACTCTTCCGGTGACTGGTAGGTATTGCGTTTGCTCACCTTGAGCTCTCTCTCCCTTCTCTCTAGTGCACTCACAAGAAGAAGAAGAAGAAAAAAAAACACATAAAATTTCATTATCAAATCATCATCCCAAAATACAAAACAACTAGCCAATAAATAGACCTCATAAAAAGAAAAGAAATAAAAGACTAAAATATCCTTCGGGCTACAACACTACATGACCACCCGTAAGGGTATAAAGGGAAAAACAACAATATAAAATAAACTAGTACAGAGAACATATAAATAAATAACTCAAGATCGTAACAGTTGATCTCCGATGTCCTCATCAATTAGAATATTAGGTATAATAGTTTTAAATATCTTGGATCTATTACAAAGAAGAATTATGATACAAACGACAATATAAGAACTAAGAGAAGATGGTTGAAATAAAAATAAAAATCAAATAATGAAAATATAAAGAAAAAGTTTATATAATTGCAATTATAACAGCTATAGCGCTGATCAATAATTAATTCATTGATAACCCAATCAATGTGTCATGGATGAAAATCATAAGATGGACGTATAGCAAACTAGGAAATACAGATATAGCAAACTAGGAAATACATATAGTGAAATAATTATATGAAAGGGATGGTAAGAGTAGCAAGTCTTAAGGATTTAGTATTTAAGAATACACTTGAGTGATTTCAACACATATATAAAGGAGGATAAAAATGGAAAAATAAGACAAGAATATAAAAATAAAGGTAGATAACAATAGCATGACTATAAATTGTACAAAAAAATGTGTACAAAATAGAGTTATCTCATGCAACACTAAATAGAAAATAATGGAAAATAAGAGTAGCCTCAAATAGTTGGGTTTAAATTTGAAGCTTTACAAAAGTGCCACCCCAGTGAAAGAAACAGGCAACCACAATGGCATCCCATAGAAAGTGGTGCAAATTTGGGGCCTAAAACAAATGCAAGTGTGGCTGCATGCTGACAATGATGATCATGATCACAGTAATGGCCATCATGATGATGATTATTATTATGAAGATGATAAGAGGGAGGAGCTTGAAAAAATTCATAAATTTCTTCAAAGCATCCTCAACTTTAAGAACAAAATAAGTCCTAAAAGCTCACATTAATGTCCTCCACATCATTCAATACGTTCAGACAGAGACTAAAGGTCCATTTCCAAATATGAAGAATAAATAGCATTATTCTTGGCGTAAGCTCAACTTATAACTTTGTACAATCTTACTCAGTAATGAGAATCAGCAACTCATATCAATATTGCAGTCCAAAACAAATTAGTGATAAACAAGAAATACAATATAGCTAGATTCTAACAAAGGATGGACCAAACTGCCTGCCATTTTACCACACAGAAAAATTTTACAAGCACCTTAATCCCAAAGATGCTCCAACATACCTGTAAGCAAATTTAATGACTGTACACTTTCCTCTATTATGCCTAACTTTATGCTACAACAACTCATTCCCTCCATGTTTTTCACTGCTATCATAGCCAACACTATAATTCCTAACAGGTTGTCTCTTGAAAGCTAAAGCATTGACAAGCAGTTCCAGCATAGCGAGCCAATGCACTTACACTGATTGAAAAATAACCATAGTAAGCGTACCTTGAGAGGGCCAGCTCCAGCAGGAGGAATCAACGGCTATGTTCGATATGAGACGAGCGGAGGCGACAGCGTTGTGTAGAGGCCACAGAGAATCCACGGTTCCCAGCGCAGAAGCAAGCGACCTCAAGTGAGAGAAACAGGGATCAGGAAAATGATCGGAAAACAAAGAAGGGAGAAAAAGAATAAATGGAAAGAGAGCCCCTAGGGTTTACAAAGGCGGATGCTCACCTGCCGAACAGAGGAGAAGCTAATCTGGAAGGAGACGCTTTGGGCAGCAGGATTTGAGAACGGAGAGAAGAGGCTCTCACGGCGGCCAAAGCGGCGGATCGGCACATTGAAGCCATTTTCAACTGCTTCTTGCTGTGCTTGCAATTTGGATTCGAGGACAAAACAATTTCCTGATCTCAGCAAAGGCTTCTTTACAAATGCAATTTTGATTTAAATATTTATAGCCTCCAGTTTTGGAGAATTATTTGTTATAAAAAAAAACAAGTAAATTTTTTTCGTATAACTATTATTTGCTTGTTAATATTTTTTCTTGATTTTTTGATATTCTTAAAAATTTTCATAATGAGAAATTATATTTTACAACTAAATCTACTAATATATAAGAACTATAAGAAAGATGATATCTATTTTTTTAAAAAAGAATATATTTATAATAATTATAATAATTTAAAAAAATTACTTCACATTCATTTTTATTAAAAATTATTATCCTCTCAAAAGGATAAGACCTAATGATTCAAGTAAAATATATTTCTATTTGTGAGGGACAAAAAAAAATAAAAAAATATTTATGAAAGAGGGACAAAAAAAAATTAAAAAAATATTTATGAAAGAGAAAAAGAGGATGTCTTAATTATAAAAGATCACAATAAAATGAGTGTATAAAAAAATATTTTTACTCACATTCAAACCAACTCAATCTAATAAAGAAATAGACAAATCTTTAAAGAGAAGCAAAATAGAAAAAGAATTCAATAGTGACGACAAATGCACTGCATTAAGCTCGTTGATTGTTGAATAAAAGATCATTTGGAGATAATTTAATTGAATCTCAATATATCATAAAATCAATGTAAAAACCATAGAGATGGAGAGAGAAAGAATAAATAAATTGAAATATATATGTGTGTGTTTATATATATATATTCCAACAAAAATAAAAGGATACAAACAAGTCCAACATATGACAAAACAACAATTACAAGACTAAAAAAAACAATTACAGGACAAACAAAAAATAAAAGATAGCACAGTAAGTAAAACACAAGCTAGCTAGGCTCAAAATTGGCAAGAGGTATTCTGCCAACCATCCAGAAGGACGACAAAGACCATTCAGAAGAGGCAACAATCATAGCCCACACAGTTGAAACACAACCCCACATCCCAAACAAACGTCACCAAATAGAATAAGAAGACGCACCACCAATGGTTGCCAACAAAGCCACTTCTAACCAGATGGTGAGCAGGAAGTTGCCTCATTATTGTCCGGGCCACATTCACCAGCAATGGAAAACCAATCCAACGGAATCCAATCACAACAACCCCAAAGCCATCCAATCAAAAAAGGAGAATCAAGTTCAAGGTAATTACTTCTTTTTTTATTTTCTACCACGATGCTTGCCACCACTATTAAAGAATGCATTGTTAACACTACAACCAACTTGCAAATTATATAATTTAAGAAGTTCGCCAATCGGGTCATCTTCGCCCCCTAACCATAAGAGGAAGAATCCATTCAGTTAGAATGATCCACATTAATGTCTGTCAACTTGTTAGTAACTTGAGCTTTTAACGGTTCATTAGAAATTAGAGAAACTAATACATAAAAAAAAAGATTCATGCTCAAGCTCACCCACTGGTATATCCAAAACAACTAAAGGAGAATCACAGATGCAATACCCAACTCACTAGACAAACCATTATCCATCACCTTGTTAACATCGCATGAACCCTTCAACACCTCCACTTGATTAACATTAGAAACAATAGGAAGATGATCCAAACCCTTAATTCCCACCATAGAGCCAATGTTAACAGAGACAGGAAGATCCCTCGGAGGAACCAGAGGGTTATCGGTAACACCCGGAATGGGCACCACCACATGGCCCACATCAAGAGCATGAAAAAACTCTATAGGAACCATAGGAACTAAAACAATGGGCTCAGACGAGGGAGCGATATCAGCAACATTTGCAAGTTGAGATAACTTCTCATTACCAACAGTACCAACCTCCACACGATTTTGCTTAACAAAATCACAACCAGTTCCAAGCATACTTTTTTTCCAATCCACTAGTTGGGTTACCACCCCCAATATTTGAAAGAGGTTGCACAACATGAGAATGATTAACATGGGGATGAACAATACAACATTCAGCTTGAGAATGGACCAAGGATTTATAGTGCACGCAATAATGAGGAAAGTCTTCCATAACCACAATCAGGATAGCATTTGGTTACATCTAATTCAACTAAAACACGAGCTACAGAAGGACGAGAGCTAGAGGAGGTACCATTATCCATTTTAGAGGACGGCTAAATAGGGAGCTAAGACCATGAAATATTCTAGGAGAGAAAATGTGAGCCCTAAAGTTGGGAAATGAAAACCAAATCGGAATGATTGGAGACTCAACCCCAATATCAAAATTTGGAGTTCATTTGTGCAATTTCATATAATAATTGTTCACAAAGTAGGAACAATGGACAAACACTCAATAATAATTAAGGTCATTCACAAGCTTAATTAAGACATGCTTTGGTTTAGGGACAATAACCGAGAAATCACCAATCAAGTTAAGATTGAAATTTTGTTTCTAATGGCATTGAGAAAGGGTCTATGACCCAAAAATTTCTCAACCAAAGTGAACTCAAATGGGGCGACAAGAGCAGGGATTTCAGCCTCTAAAATCCACAATGAAAGTAATCCCCGATGAGTCGAGATTTTGAGGTCAGGGAACACAGCCGAAGCATGAGACAAGCCCGACAAAGCATCATTAAATGAACGAGAAGACGAAATCACATTAAAAAAAAAAATCAGGTTCATGCACTGGAGAGCAGCCATAACTTCGAAAGAATGCAAAACCAGGGTGGAAAAAAATTCTAAAAGAACACAGAAATGAGTCGTGAAGTTCCATGCTGGATAAATGGAAGGCGGAAGCTACAAAAATGGCATCGCGGAGAAGAACGGCTATGGGCGAAGGAACCCTAGCAGCACAACACATTTCACCTCCTACTATCTCCTCTTATATATATATATATATATATATATATATATATATTGATTGTTGATTTATCATATACTCATGCTGAGAAGGTAAATAATGATAAAAAATGATATCTTTCATTGCTCACCAAATAATTAAATATAACTTAAACTTAATAATATTTAGGAAAAAATGACCATATAAGTAATCCTTTATGTTAATTAAAAGATAAATCATAATTAGATGACTTTTAGATTACATTAGAACTTAGATGCCTTTTATAGACATAATTTGACCTTTTCATGATAATTTTTAACGAAAAAATAATTTATTTGTTTCACAAATGTGATAAATATTTTTAGAGAGAACCACAGCCTAATATGCAAAACTTCATTGAGAGAAAAAAAAAAGGTTCCTAGCAAGGGCAAGATGTGAGAAGAATAAACTGAAAAATCAAACCCTCAAAAATCAACTACCACAACCTTACTTGGAAAATGGGCACCATATCAGGAACAATTATTAGGTCAAGTGACCTGACGTAGCTCTACGTTCGGACGTCAATAACATGTTGCCACGTGGTACCGCACGGCCTGACGACTTGACCCGGGATTATTATGTTTGCGTATTGCTCGATATTGCTCGGTATTGCTAGGTATTCCTTGGCAATAATGAAAAATATTGCTATGTGAAGACCAATACCGAGCAATACCTACTTCTCGGTATTGGTCTTCACAAAATGATATTTCTCGTTATTGCCGAGAAAAATCGACCAATACCGAGCAAATACCGAGCAATACCTCGCAACACGCAAACATAGCAATCTCGTTTCAGGTTGGGGTTGTCGGGCCGCGCGGTAAATAGTGAGAACACCTGTCACTATTTTACTGGGATCCGAATATATATAACTTCTTCAGGTGACCAGAGCAAATAAAAGTTCCGAGATCACACCTTTCTTTAACTACCATTTCCACAGGGGACGTATCATGCGATAATGAACAAATCTCATACTGAACCATTTACCACCTCTCCTTTGAGGTCTGAAGCGTGACAGGCACACGAATAGGGAGCCTGCAATGAATCACAATATTATAAAGAATATGTTAAAAGTTGCCTCAATCATCACCATCAGGCGGCTCCGGGCAGATCTCCTTCGAAGACCTCCGACCGGAGAAAGAATGCTCTCCGCCACTCCCTTGCGATCTCATCGTACCCGACCGCCTCAAAGACCTATCTTCCCTCGCCAGCACTGAAACCGAAGGAATATCCGACGAACTTTGTCGCCAGCTTCCAAAGAAAGCTGCATTCCACAAGCCTCTTGATGAAGTAGCTTTTAATCTTGCCGAGTCTGAATTGTTGTCATCTCTAACCACCTTCAAAGGATTCTCCAATGCTTTTAAAATGTATCTCATTAGGGGCCGTTTCAAGGGTTTGGGATTCAGACAGGACTTGGCCACAATCGCCATTGCCCATACCTCCTCAATGAGGTCCTCATCGACGATCAGCGAGGGGTCAACTATTTTGGTCACAAGCTCCTTCTCACATATGTTTACAAAGCGTAATGTGTGATCGAGCCATTCATTTGTGGTGGGATCGTTTGAGCCACTGAGACCAAGTCTGCCTGTGACCAACTCCAGCAAAACCTTACCAAAGCAATATACATCGTAGGACCAAGACGCTGGCGGGAGCCCTATAAGAACAGGCATGCATGTGAACAAATACATTCAAGTAGAAAAAGCTAGAAGATTTTGTCATACCAGTGGAAATTTGCTCAGATGTCCTGCAAAGCAAAATGAAAAGGTAGATAAGATTAGAAGAAGAAGTTCTGTATCTCAGTTTCATAAGAAAATAATCAAGTAATTGTAAATCTTTCTGAAATTAAATATAAATAGTTATAGTTCGATAGGTCGAATTGATTTCTAAATTTTGCAGGTAAATGCAAAGCCAGTGTCAAACCTCAATTTTAACTTATGTGAGATGGAAGAGGGGAGCGTTTATTGTCTTTGTGGCATAAGTGTAGACCAAGAGATTCTTATGGACTTGGGAAAAGGATTAGGCTTGATTTTAGCTGATTGAGAGGGTTAGGATGATATGGGAGAAAGGTTAAAAGAAGGACATGATGAGCTGTGCAAGAAGGTCACCTTAATTCGTTCACAAACCAACTTGATTTAGCAAGCTTGCAAGCAAGAATAAGATAACTTTATGGACGAAGAAAAAAAGTCTTTTTTCATTCCATTTATCTACTAATTATAACATGAGATAGATTTAAAAATCAAAATACAAGAATGAAATTGAAATTATATTTATCTCTTTTGTGAGTAAAAATTTATGTAACTCCCATTTGAATTTTAATACCTCCTCACATTTGTGATTAGCCTCCTCCCTTTATTGGCGAGTTTGTAGCTCCCCACCATTTAATGTTTCATGAAATTTAACTTTTCAATCTGAATCATTTGTAAGCTCCTCCATTTCAAAAGATGAAACATTTCCTTTAGTGCTAGCTTCCAATTAGCCGGCTTCATTAATGTTCAAGAACTTTTTACTAAATGAAATGGCTTACTTAAATAAACTAACTATAATTAAAGAAAATTATGCATTAATTCTCTTGTTACATAATTAATGAAGTGTGTTAATTAATTTCATTTTGTTTATGATTTTATAATTGATATTCAGATATTCTTGGAGTTTCATGTGATTGCCCTACGTCACATACCTCCAAATTGAAAAGAACGCAGCAAGAGACAACATGGAATTCGAAGTGCTATCACCCCAATGATGAGCATTATTATAAAAAAGTCTTTAACCGTAAGGATTCAATCAATGCATCCTCATTGTCAAATGCATCCATATCTAATTTCACATAGGACAATGCAAAATAAAAAGCCCCATTCAAAATCATAACTAACCTACAAGGTTTTACCTAGATTGTTCATGTTTAAATCTGCTCCTAACCAAGTACAAGCCTCTAGATAACAAAATCGAAATCCACTTGGAATCAAATATCTCATTTCCAAAGGCGCTAGCTACCTGCCAATAAAGAGATAAGCCAAATGATCTTAATCTCAACCGACATAACGACCGCCACTGTCCGCATGGCCTACATTCAAGAAAATAACCCCACCTTAAATGTAAGTATGGACCTTCCACCATAGCTCCCCAAAATAAAAGCCATATCTTAGAAGGCTACATATCTTCCTAATGATAACTTGATAAGTGAAATTACAGACAACCACAGTCCGAGCGATTACATCCATTTTGAAGCTTCTCAACGTCTAATAATAAACCCTAAGCACTATATGTTTGAACCCCCATATGTCAAGCAGCTAAATATTGATAATGGGAGAATTCAAAGGCAAAACTCAATCGAAGAAATCTTCCATGTCTAACGACAAGCCTTTACAAATCTATATCCCGCCCCTAAAATAAAACAAAAAATACCAAAAAAATAGAAAATCTCAAATGCCTAAGCAATGTCAACCGCCTTGCACTCAAAGCAGCCACCAATTTGCCTTTTGCTTCAAGTTCATTGAGGATGGCAAATTAAAGTTCGACTAAAGCTCAAAGGACCCAAGTTCATATCAATGCGACTATAATTCATACACAAAAAATCTCGCACCAATAAAAAGCTAGAATAAGCCTATTGCCAAGTGGATGTCTTGATTGTGACAGCGCCACTATATTATGGTAAAGGCTCATGCTTAGATGTTTGGTATGTGCTCACTGAGCAGGTACTTAGCATCATTGCAATGGCAAACCTATATAACGATAAAGGCATGTGCTAGTTGCCTAAATGATACGCCTAAGTTTAAGGGGCCACTATAGTAAGTTAAAACCCTAAAAAAACTCCTCATAATAGTGCAACTCTACAAATTATAAGCCATATAACACTCATGATATGTCATGAAGCCTTATGCTAGCAAGTTTGGCCATGAAATTGACAAATTCTACAAGCTTTTACTGCGATTATAAGGCACCCTTGAATGAAGCAGGATCCCTAGTCATGTTGAGTTGATTACATCACTAGCATCATGGAACAAGGTCTATGATAGACTCAAGACAATGGAGCTATGAGTTCTTAACCGGGTTTATCATCATTTCCTCTACAATGTCTCATAAACAACAATTTCTCTCTTGGTTGTATGGGAATCAATTACATCAATTCTTTATAGAGCTAGAATACTAATTTTAATCAAAACTTCTCTCTTGCATGCGGGAGGGATAATTAAAAATAAGAATTTGTGCCTATATGAGCCTCGAACAAGGAATACAAAGTCCTACAAAAAAAAAAATTTTGAGTAGCACTTTATCAGTACTTAATCTATCTTCTCAAAGTACCTCTCATTGATTCGCAAGAACCACCAATTTTTAAGAGCCCACAAAAATTACCATAATTAATAGTTGCACTATAATAGGGTGAGAAGGACCATTAATATAAACATTAAAACAATGTCGTAAAAGTATTATTCTTGCATTGTCTCAATGGGCATTAGCCTCACCGTTTTATGCTTTCTAGGTTGGATATAATGATTGGGCTTATGTGGTTCTCTATATATATTAAAAATAACAAAAAAGGGCCAAAATAGCATCTCAACTTTTTTTTTTTGTGTGTGTGTGGCTTGGGGGGCTGGGGTAAGCTCCATTTTAGTCAATAGATTCCTTAAAACGGAACCAAATTTGTTCTGCAGTTAAAAGTGACAAAACTTAAGGTTCAAGTTAAAAGTATAGGATCAAAATAAGGGTATTTTAATAATATAAATTTTGAAATTTTTATAAAATCTATTTTCATACTTCCCTTTCCTGATGTATAGCAGCCCACTTCACATACAACAAGAGTGGATTGAAATCATACTAGTTATGAAGTGAGATAAGTTTCAGTAATACATGATTTTATTTTACGATTTTTTATTTTGATTCTATTATAAAGAAATGCATTCAGTTTAATTTTCTCTATTCAAAATATTAAAATTTTAATTTTTCTATCAATTTTTTACAATTATTTTTTTAGTAAGAACAAAGTTTTGAACTTGCATCATCTCATTTGTAACCTCAACCATTAACTTTAACTTTCATTTCTGTCACTTTTTCCTCCAAGATCTATTTAATGGGTTTTGGGATTAAATCAAACCTTTTATATATTCTAAGACTAAAATTGCCCCCTCTTAAAATATGCTACATGGATACTTCCAAGATCTATTTGATCCCCTATAATCAATCCTTAGAACCAATGGGAACCAAAATTTAGGCTATAAAATACTTGCACAATTTTAAGAAAAAAAAGCTATTAAAAGAATTTCACAGTTAAAATATATGATCATACCGACTTCTATGACACTAAGAAATGCACAATACCATATAGTGGAATCAACTAAAAAAACTAAACTTATAAATGATGGCACAATGGAAGGTAGCACAGCTATATAGATCCTTTGTAGATATAACGAACATTCAATCGGGACAATAGATTGAATTCACATTTGTACGATTCGAAGATAGAATCAATAAATCCTAAATTAATCATCACATGTAGATTTTAAACAATTTTCTTATATAGAGTAGAAGAGAGATAAGCTTACTGTGACAATCGCAAAAGCCGAGAAATGACATTTTGGTGGCTATCTCCTTCTTGATCACATACATTGCTCAAGCTTCCAAGACGCACTTCAAATTTATCATCGAGAAGGATACTGCTTGCTTGAATATCTCTGGAAACAAGGGAGTCATACAACAAATTAGTCGCTAGGTGTACAACCTAGTGATATCAGTCCCACTTGCATAAGCTTTTGAAAATATAAACCAATCAAAAAATCAAACTAGAGAACTTGGAAGGTAATTGACAGAAATATAGACCAATGACAAAGCGATAATTCATTGACAAGTTCAAAGTGAAATGGCCATTTCTACACAAGCAATAGAAATTATCAGACTAAATTGTAGTAGTTAGGAGAAAAATCAAGTTTCATAGATCAAGACCCCTCGAGAAAACGGACAGATTTCTACCAAAGAGAAAGAAATATACAAGCTAGCACTATCCTAAATTAGAAGACACATCCATGTTTTATACAAAAATTTATCTCTGAATGTGAACGAAACCAAACGTGATACATTTAAATCAACCCATATTTATTTACAAGAAAATGCTAGAAAGGGAAATATCCGAAAGTTAAAAACTGACCAAAGCTGTATCCTAACATGACAATTGCTATGGTAAAATCGTCAGCACACCAGCTATACACCACATGAGAACTTTTACAAGTTTCATTTATTTGGACGCAAAGCTTCAGCTGATAGACCATAAACAACAGCGTAGAAAATATATGTCTACAACAACTGAAAGAAAGCCACATAAATGGCATCAGAATTTACAATTCATGCCCTAAAAGAAAGTTGAACACTTAAATAAGAATCAAAACAACTGAGATGCTAAAAATGGAGCATTCCGATTATTTATCGTAGTTATATAATCCAGTTAGCAAAGAAGCTCGGATAGGTATGAGAGGCAACAGGTGGGATTCGGTTTGTTCAACATCTTCCATGAATCAACATAACTCTACAAGAAGAAAGTGGAACTTATACTTTTCCTCTTACACCTAAGTGGATTAAGAAAATAAATATACAGGGTCCATTTAGTTTCAAGTATTTGTATTTGTAGTGTAAAGTAAATCAAACTTCTACGGAATTTATTTAAAGAAATTACCAAAATCAAATTTATCAACAAGTTCAAATAAATAAGCGAAATTGATAATGAAATTGGAAACAAAGTTGCATAAAGATCGATACAATGAAAATTTTAGAGGGTAGATTCACATATCTTGCATTAGATCCTGAATTACGAATTCCAATTTGTGAGCATAATCCTAACAGTTAAGATTAAGTTCAATGATTGTACTTGCAAACACAAAATAAATCAAGGTGACACATCTTTATCCAAAAAATTTTTACTTCATCCAATAATTCTTAATAATTAGTTGGAAACTTACATTATGGATATGCCATCTAACACATAATTTTCAACCATAAAAGACATTTGAAACTTTGCTAAGAAAATGATCCTTAACAAGAAAGTTAATTTCTATCCCCTTATTTTCAAGTAATTGAAATTAACATTAGTTGTACTCCATGCTATAGCAAGTGTTGGAAGAGCTTTTTCTACTATGACTATTTTTAAAGTCAACTTCAAGATTGAATTGGAGATCAAGGAATAAAGTCACTTGCATTGAGAAAGAAATATTAAAGGGCATTAACAATTAAGTTAATCATTTTACACTTTCAGAATATAAAGGGTAGAATTACCAATTGTAAGTTTTTAATTATCATATACTTTTATTGATGGGGACATCAATGCATGGAAAGTTTATCATAGAAGGGGTCATAGATCGACGACCACGATTGAGTCGTTATATTATTAGTTGGTATGTGTGTTGTATGTGATTTAATCTAGTTTGTGAACTTTTCCTTAATGTTATGATGTAAGCCCAAGGGCATTTGTGAACTTTTCCTTAATGTTATGTTGTAAGCCCAAGGGCATTTGTGTATTTTGTCTTTTCATGTGGTGGAGCTTATATATATGGCTCTCTCCCACCTTGTATGGATGATGATTATTTTTAAATAAATTATAATTTCAGTCCTCTTCTCTTGTGTGAGAGTGAGTGTGGTGGAGTGGTGAAGTCTTAGGAGAAGGCAAATGAAGTACCCAACAGCCCATTAAGGTGAGCTCTTGAATTTCCCCTTGTATCTCTTCCCCTTTCCCTCCTTCCTCCCTAACCACCGATCAACCCCTCTTCCCCTCCCTTTCTCATCAATCAAATACACAAACAAATTATAGGATTGCAAACAACTAAATGTCTTCCTTAAACATAAACACGACAATAAAACTTATGTATGTTTTTGAGAAGAAGGATACAAGTGAGGCGGGAAACATGGATATAGAAGAAGAAATTAGAAGACCAAGACCAATTTTAAGAGGAGAAGAGGAAAGGAGACTAGCTCGCAAGCTAAAAAAACCCACAGCTTTTTACATTCCAAATAATTTTATCAAAAAACTCTTTTTTGACTCAAGAAAACAGTCCCTATATATAGAGAAAAGGCATTAAATGCAAGAAATAAAAGCACCACCATTCAGCCAATAGGAACACATAAAAACAGCAGCAAAACCCAAGGGAGAGTAGCCAAAGGGGGATACCGAAGCAACACACAGCAGTCAGGAACACAGAAAACCATAGGATAGCTGCCAGGAGGGGGGATTCGAAGCAGCACAAAACAACACAGAAACCGAAGCAACAACATAGAAACCGAAGGAGCAGCTGCATAGGGAAGGGGGAAACCTGAAATCTTGCCTACATCACCTTCTTTGTACTATCTATTGTTGACAGATAGTGGTCAATCATAATGCTATGATAAAGCCATTCAAGTTGATGATTCAAAGAAGTAGGAGCAAGTCATGGATGATGAGATACATTCACTTGAATTGAATCAGACCTGGGAGTTGACAGAGCTACTAAATGAATAGAAAGCACTGTAGAACAAATGGGTTTATAAGCTGAAAGAAGAACCTGATGGTGCCAAACACTAAAAGGTCGGGCTTGTAAGTAAAGGTTTTCAGCAGAAGAAAGGAGTGGACTTCACCGAAATTTTTTCTGCAGTGGTGAAGATGACTACAATCAGAGTTATACTGAGCATGGTAGCAGTAGAGGATTTACATCCAGAGTAGAAGGATGTAAAGATAGCATTTCTTCATGTTAACCTTGATGAAGAATTGTATATGATGCAACCTCAGGGATATATGGTCACAAGTAATGAAGATTTGGTGTGTAGGCTCAAGAAGAGCTTATATGGGATGAATTAAGCACCAAGACAGTGGTACAGGAGATTTGACATGTTTATATCAGATAATTGGTACACGAAGAGCCAGGCTGATCATTGTTATTTTTCAAATATTTTGATAATTGTTATATTATTCTGCTTTTGTATGTGGATGACATGCTGGTTGTATTGTCAAATATAGAGAAGATAAAATATCTAAAAGAACAATTATCAAAGGATTTGAAATGAAAATTTTGGGTTTAGCAAAAAAAAAAATCTCGATATGAGAATCAGTAGAGATAGAATTGCATGTATACTGAAATTTTCTTAGGCTAAGTATGTTGAAAAGGTGCTTCAAAGATTCAACTTGAGTGAAGCAAAGCCAGTTTGCACTCCCTTGGGTAGTCACTTTCAGTTATCCAAAGAACAATCGCCTAAATCTGAAGCAGAGGAAAACAGATGAAGAAGACTCCACATGCTTCAGCAGTTGAAAGTATGATATATGATATGATCTACCCAAGATCTGATATAACATATGCAGTGGGAGTAGTCAGCAGATTTATGAGTAACCGAAGCAAACCTCATTGGGAGGCAGTTAAGTGGATTCTCAGATACTTGAGAGGATCAGTTGACAAAACTTTTTGCTTTGGTGGTGCAGAGATTGATCTACAGAGTTATGTAGATTCTGATTTTGTTGGAGATCTTGATGGTAGGCAAAGCACAACATGTTATATCTTCACTTTGGGAAAGACTACAGTCAGTTGGATTTTTAAGTTACAAAAGATTGTTATGCTCTCAACCACATCAACGGAGTACATTGCTATCACTAAGACTAGTAAGGAGATGATTTGGTTGCAAAGTTTCTTGACATAACTTGGCAAGGGGCAAAGGAATGGGAAGTTACATAGCGACAGCATAAGTTCTATACATCTAGCCAAGAATACTGCATTTCATACCAGGACGAAGCACATCTAGCTTCGATATCATTTCATCATGTCGCTTCTTGAAGATGGTCAATTATCTTTGGAGAAGATACACATGACCGAGAATCTTGCAGATATGCGAAGACTATGATAGTTGATAAACTGAATCTATGTGTAGCATCAGTTGGTCTTCATGGATGATGAGAGCAAGGGTGAGTTATAATAAAGGTACTATGATTGGTGATGCAGATCGAAAGAAATAATGATTTCAATCAGTTTCCAAGTGGGAGATTGTTATGTGCGGAATCTGATTGTGTTGATCACTTGGGTTGTTTTGTTGTCTCATACCTCAAGTTTCTCGTGCTTGTTGGGGGGTGCAAGAGTTTATCCCCTACTTGGGTTCGAGTGCGTGCCCGAGCACTGACCCCCCCCCCCTCCCACCAAAGCATTGTGTTCCCAAGCACCCTAGTACTAAACGACATAGAGTAGAGCGCATATGCGGTATAGATACGTCGCTTCAACGGATCAAGACAGAGGTTCAAGCGCCGAAGCGCTCAAAGCTAATGTGGCATCCCATATATCTATAGTGAAAGGATTCGTCTGACATTCTTTTTCTTCTTCTCTTTTTTTTTCTCTCAGATCAATACAGACATCCATAAATGATAATTGCATTACAGAAAATAAATACATCAAAATACTATAATTCACATTCGACATTTCATAAACACAGTCCAAAAGAACATGTACATCCAAAAGAACATGTACAATAGCCGCTCGGGCTACAAAACAATGCAAGAACTAAAAACTACAAAAAACTATTCTAGTATTTGAAAGAAGCTTCACGCGGGAGGTTCTGCACCTGAAATCATTAACCACATATAATGAGCTTCAAAAAGCCCAACAAGTTACCAAAGCCTATAACTGAAATCAAAGCACGGTACGGAAAATAATATGCATATCAATCAATCAATAACAGTCACTTACACATGATCATTGAATCGATGCAGGTACAGAAATTAGTACAGAAATAGAAATCAATGCAGTAACGAAAATCAATGTATAAACAGTATCAATACTAAAATAGAAATCAACACATAAACAATAATATCCAAAATCATCAGTGATAGAATCAGTGAACAGTAGAAAATCTATAATGTTCAATAAATCAATACGTGCATCACATCTCTACAGTAGCGTCTTATCTATCTCATCAGTCTATAATATCAGTCGAGTCAATGAAGTAGAATCGTACCACAGCATACCAACATACACTTGCAAACTCCAGTTATTTATCACTTGCTCAATTAATCATATGCAACCCAGAAATCAATATCCCGTGCTCAGTGGAATCACATGTCACTTGCTCAGTATATCACGTGCATAATGTCAGTTCAGTGAATCAGTAGCAGCAATGTATGTATCAATATTAATAACAATCAAATGACGACATGAACAGTTATGCTATAACAGTGAAATCGTGTGGTAACAGTAAATTCGTACAGAAATGATAAATTCTCCGTAAACGAATCACAATAAAAGAATCAGTAAAAGAATCAATACTAGTAAATCCGTCAAATTAAATACAATTAACATCACCCAATCATATCAATAGAATCAATCAAATCAATAAATCAATAATAACAATTAAAATCAATCAATACAGTAAAATCATATTTTATATCACGTGCTCGGTGTAGCGCATGTATCACATGTATCAGTCAGTATTCGATATATCACATGTTATAAGATCGGTACAATGAATTAATGTATCAGTGGATCAGTAGTATCGGTATCAGTATCTGTAGTATCTATGAATCAATGCAATATCAATGAAATCGTACAGTAATAGTAAACCCGTAAATCCGTCAGTAAATCCATTCAATAGCAATAAATCAATTTCATATCAATAAATCAGTCAATATCGATAAATCCATAAAGAGATCATAAAAACAGTACTGTACACATGCAATACAATACATTAGTCTTACTTAACAAGTACAATCACTGGCTATTAAGGCGTTTTTCAAGGTTAGTATCGATGTTAGAATTCCGTTGGCTCAATGATAGAGTCGTCACCCCTGCCCGTCGGCGTAGAAATCTCCTTATAACTCTCAATCGTTATATCACGTGATCAATAGAGGATAACACCAAACCCTTTTTAAAGGAAAGCCCGTCGGCCCACCATCCTGTACAGGTCCAATCTCTAACCAACGGTTCAACCAGTCTTTACTTGTCTTTCAGTAATATAATAGTAATTCAATCATCTATGCACATTCATATACATCTCATTAATACAATGCAATCAATAAACACAATTTAACTCAATTAAAGAAAATCCTCAAAATACCGTACAGTCGACAGAAATCCCAAACAGAGACGAAATACACAGTTTCAGAAAATTACCGAATTACCAGAAATCGTTTAAAACAACGTTTCAAAACTTTACTTGTACTGAAGCAATAATTTTCAACAATCATATAATTTCCTATTTGATAAAAATCCCACAAAAATCAAAATACCCGGTAAAAACTTTCCAGAAAATACTCAAATCGTGCAAAATCATCAATTCTATAACATACCAAAAGTTACGCAGCAGAAGTTTCGTCAATACAAAGATATGCACGTTTTTCGGTAATGGAAACACAAAACTGAGCAGAAAAATACCAAAACTCGAAATCTTCGAAATCAGAAATAAGATTCGGATTCCTTACTGTGAGGCGAACAATTCTTCTAACAGCGGCGTCGGACGAAAAGCGCACCGCGAGCTCCAAAACCCAGCTTCTTCTTTCTCTTTCCTTCTCTTTCTCTCTCCTGCCTTTTTCTCTCTCTTCAAAATATCTCAAATCCTCAATTTATCAAGCAGGATTGTCCCGGGATGAACTCCTCTGGACACGGATCGTACAGATGAAAATTAATTCCAATTTATTTCGTCCCTGGACGAAATTCTCGGGTTCAGTTCGTCCCGATGCACCCAGGTTCGTCCAGACAACCCTGCATTTTTACTCAGTTCGTCCAGACAGTTCGTCCGTACTAACCATTTAGATTTTCACAATTTTCTTCAGTTCGTCCCGTACTAAGGCCAGTTCGTCCGGACTAACAGCACTCACAAAAAAGAAAATTTGAGGGGTTTTACAGCTAAGGCCGCAAAGTTGCGAGACGGACTAAACTATTTTTTTTTCTCATTTTTCTAAAGGGGCAAGAGTCCCTTGTGTTTATTTACTTGACTTTTTCTTGTATTTTGAGTGGGTGAAAACATAGAGAACGGTGCATGTCAGAAGAGAAGTAAGGAGAGGGCGAAAGAGAAGAGAGATGTGTACTTATTTCTCTCAATTTTCATAGGGGATTTCTTGGTGCAGCGTGGCTCTGTGGTTTTTTTTCTATTTTGAGTTTTTTCCACGTTAAATCCTATTATCCTTTACTCTATGTTGATTTTACTTTCTTGCTTATTTCGTCATTGTGGAGTTTACTCCTCATCCCCAACAATATAGACCAAATCTCATAGTTTAACATCAATAATATATTTTAAAGGGGTGAGAAAATTGAGAATTGTGACCTTTCCTAAAACACTAGTCTAGGATATAGAAAATAAATTATGATACAGACAATACCTTTCTATTAAAACAGGAAGACAACAGTAGGATACAACTTATTATGTCAAGAAAGAAATAAATAGGCATGACCTTTCTATGTTATAGAAAAATATTATTATGCAAATCAATATTCTGTGTCACGATGTCATCATGTCAAACTCTTAAAATATCCTAAACCGTCTTCCTATTTTTGGAATCCGAAAATGTACGAAAGAAATTGAGAAATCATACACCGGAAGCTATTTTCACTGGCATGCTCGTCGGTTTATGAAAGAAACAACTAATTGGCCAGTATAGCTTCCGTTACGTTATAACGCATTATTCGAGCATTTGAATATGTATTATTAAAAAAAAAACTGACTAAAACAATACGTACAAATGATAAATTAGAAAAACACCTATGAACCAATGGTGGTTCGCACTCATGATGGAGGTAACAGAGAGCCTCCGCCGCTCCTGTTGCAATCTTCAACCTGGTTATCCAATCCAGAGACTGTAAGCCCTCATCTTCCTGCGCTGCCTTTCTATAAAGTGCATTAGCTAAATCACGATGAGGCATTTGTTTATAAACAAGAAATCTCTCATTCTCATTCTCCATACAATGTCCCACAAAAGGAGCAAATCTCTCATGAGAAAATCTGGCAAAGAAATTCAATTCCACCTGATAAGCTTCCTTATTGACACTGTTCATGTCTATTCTCTTCACGACCACATGATTCCCATTTTCCAAAACTCCCTGGTAGATATCTCCTGACTTCCCATGTTTGATTAGGTTCCCCTCACCAAAATCCGAGGTTGCATGTGCCAACTGCACAAATGTGAATACCTCTCCCACTGCTGGCAAGTTGACACCAACTGAAGGAAGTGGTTCCTTGCCTCCTTCGGGGGCAGATGGAGCAGCATCCGGAGTCACCTCCCTCTGATCAGATGAATGGCTTCTGCGCCAACAAAAATACAGCAACAGACAAATTACTACAAACACTAGGAGGGCCGTTCCTCCAACAACTGCTGCCACAATATACTTCCAAGTGTTCTTGCTTTTGGATGAGCTGGAGCTTGAGCTAGGGGGAGGCGAAATTGGATTCCCAGACCCATCATAGGTTATCCCTCTCTCCTTATAGAACTCCTGACAATCAGCCTGGCTTCTTTGGTTCGAGGCATTCTGAAAGCAATTTGATTTAACAGATAAATTACTGCTAGCACTATTGTGAGGCACAGAACCTTGCAAGTAATTATCTGATAGATCCACATAATTAAAAGTAGAAAGCAGGATTGCAAAACCAGAAGAAATAGAACCATACAAGAGATTATGAGATACATTAAATGAACCACCGCTGGAGCCATTGGCTTTGATCACTGAAAGCTTCGGCAGACTGCCCGTAAAGTTGTTGTAGGCGACATCAAGAAATCGCAACTTCGATAAAGACCACAATGAATCGGGGAGCTCGCCAGACAAGTTGTTCCGGCTCAATGTGATTAACTCAAGCTGTTTTATACTGGAGAAGAGGCGAACCCCTATAGAGCCACTGAATAAGTTGCTACCCAAGTTTAGATTACGCAAGCTCCTGAGCTTGTTCAATCCACGAGACAATGTACCGGACAAAGAATTGAACCCGAGATCGAGGGTGACGAGGGAAGAGAGGTTGCCTAGCTCCCGAGGAATGGAGCCAGTGAGACTGTTATTGGCGAGAATTAGAGTTTTCAGCTGCCGCAAAGCTCCTATCTCCGAAGGCACAGTACCGGTGAGGAAATTGGAGGACAAGTCAAGATACGAGAGACTGCCGAGGCCGATGAGCGCCACAGGGATATTGCCAGAGAGCGCGTTTCGAGAGAGGTCGAGGACTGAGAGGTTTCTCAATTGGCCGATGGTTGGGGGTATGTTACCGGTGATGGAGTTCTCAGCGAGAGAAAGCACGGTGAGACCGCCTGCGAGAATATAAGGTATGTCCCCGGAGACCGAGGCGCGATGGAGATCAATAACGGCGATAGATGGGGGGAGCCGGCTTCCGAACCAGTTCGGAATGGAGCCGGGGAGAGTGAACCCGGTGGCGTTGAAAGAAACCAGGCGTGTCAGGTTCTGGATACCTTCAACCGCGAATCGAGGGTTCCGGCGGCCGAGCCGCGTCCGCCGGAGACCGTAGAGGTTGAGAGAAACGACCCGCCCGCTCTTGTCGCAGCCGACGCCTGCCCATGAGGAGCAAGGGTCGGCCCGACGGGGCCAGTCTCGCGCGCGCAGACCCAACGAAGCGCGAAGACGAAAGAGTGCCGCGAGATCCACGGCGGAGCTGAGGTTTTGCCCGACGGCGAAAGTGGGGAGGAATGAAGTGAGGAAGAGGAAAAGAAGCCGACGGAGGAGGAGCGTAGGCATGGCGTGTAGAAGATGGCGATCGAACTCAGCGCCACCGGTCTCGCCGGAATTCCGGCATTGCCGGTGACCGGCTGTTCTGCTAACTTAAGTTTGGGGGATAATTGGATAAAAGTGGGTGGCGGAATTGAGAAATTAAGGAAGTATCTGAGTCTCTGAGCTGCGCGGTCGCGCTGCGCTCTCACAGCTGAGGCGAGGGAGAGAGAGAAAGCGGCCAGTTTTGAAAGGTTTGTATTAATGAGCAAAAAGAGTTTTCCAACTGTCCCCACGATGGTGAAGAGAAAAAAAAAAAAAATTAATGAGATTAAAATATAAAACAAAAAGGTTCTTTTTTGGTGGGGTTTACGAATAAATCTTAATTTTATAAAATTTTTGTGATTTAAATATGAAGTTTAAAATTTTTGGGCTGCTAATATGCTCAATTTTTAGTCATAATTTTAAATAAAATTTTCAAAATAAATTTAAAATACATATAATTTAAATATTTATTTTAAAATTAACATTCAAATGTCACAAAACAATCTAAATGATGTATCAAATAAAATATAATTAAATTGGATGATTCTTGATTGTGATTGATGATTGATGCACAATTAAAGATGCAGACAAAGAACATAAAATTTTTAGTGGAAAGATCTATAATAAATAAAATAATGAGAGAAATTTCTCTAGTAGAAAATTATCTTATTTGTATTCTATGGAGTCGGTAATAAACAAGTGAAAGCATATTGTTGATTTTATTCTCAATGTCTACAATACAATAAGGGCAAGCATTGAAATAATCTTCCCCCAAGATGCAAAAGGCAACATTACATGAAGATAATGAAATTGGCATGGTTGAAAAAGTTGGCAAAGCAAAAGAGAATGACCTTATTAGTCTTCCTCTTAGAGGCAAATGTGGCTCAACTTAAGAGCAACAAACAATGTATCACTTTATTAATGTGGAGGCCGCTAGGGATGAATGGGTCAATCCCCCTGGATGGCTTGATGAGGTAAGTTTAATGAGCATCGAGGATCATCAAATTAGTAATGTTCCTAAAGATGTGACATGGCTTGAAAGATGATGATCGGTTGACATATTAAGGTGATCTATGTCGAATGATTATCAATTCTCAAATGCAGAATATAATTGAACAAATTGTGTCAAAATGAGCGCATCATAAGATTATTTATGTGCTAAGATTAAGATCATTTTGGAAGAAGTGGGATTGAGGTGATTAGTTAGCATTATTAGTTAATTAATGCAGGGAAGGAATGGTAAATAATAGAAAAATATTTTAATTATTGCATTCATGCATCTTCTCACATGTTCTTCAACGCATGATCTCACCGTCCCAATTGAAAATTATTATTACCATTTTTATTCAAAATAAAATAATAGTAAAAAGTAGGCAGAAAAGCTGATTAAGAAATAATTATATATGACGTGTTAGTAAGATCTTTCATTATTAAAGACAGATAGGTTGGTTCAGTGAAGACCGAAGACTTTAATATTTGTGCGGCTGTGAGAATATTCTCAGCTGCATGCTGTCTTATTCAACTCGTATATATAACTTATTTGTTAGTCAACCAAAGCTCACATCTTTGGTTTGAAATATGAAATCGATAGATTTGTAATATTGATTTGATTACCTAATCCACGTGGATGTCAACGGAACACCTCTTAACTTTTTATCTAATTTTATAAGCAAAAAATTGACTTATTATATTTAGGTACGTACGTGCTAGCTTATACTTTTTAGTTTTTACATAAAAATGAAAACATTCCGAATAAAAAAATAAAAAAAATAAAATAAATAAAATAAATAAATAAATAAAATGAAAACATTCCGAATAAATTTTAAAGAGAAAATAAAATATTTGAAAGCATTTATTTGACAGGCTGGGTGGTATAAAACTTTATTAAAATAATTCTTTTTTGCTTTCTTTATTAAGCATGTGACTAATATCGATTTCAAGGAGTGTAAAAAGCGCATTAGAACAAATTTATATAGGAAACGTTCCCATATTTCTTATGTAAATATTTTATAGGCTTTAACATCGTGTTGAAACTAATTGGAGGCAGACAAAATGTTCGTGGTATATCTATACTACTATATAAGTGTGTTTTCATATTCCTCTTAAATGCAATCATAACCTTTCATTTAATTTAATAAAGATGAATCTAAATCTTTCATTTTATTTATACATTTAATTAACTTATTTATTAACTTCATTTATATTTGCTACATATTGGAAAATTCATGACAGTGGAAAAGTATAAAGCTTAATGTCTTATCTTTGTCCAAAGATCTAGCACGCAATCAGTTAAGAGAGAGGATGTAGTATTCATAAGAAATACCAAGATTTTTACGTTGAAAATCCAAAAAAGGGGAAAAACCACAACCTAGCCCAGGTTGAATGAATCAGCTAGTATTTGCAGTTGCAAATAAGGCCCTTCATTGGAGGGAAGGCCTTCGCTTGATGTAACAAATATACATCATATAAAGTGTGTTACATTGTGGAAAATAGGAAGAATCACTGTGGACGTGTTCGTTTCGTCGGGAGGATCATAGTCGGTGGGCGATGGAAGTCAGAAATAACATTGTCTGACGACAGAGGTCAGAAGGACAGTTATTTGGCGACAGAGGTGGGAAGGATCATAGTCGGTGGGCAATGAATGTCATAAAAACTGTAGTCTGGTAACGAAGGTCGGAATGATCGTAGTCGACGGGTGATGAAGGCTGGAAAGATCATTGTCTGGCGACGAAGGACGAAAGAAACATTGATGGGCGGAAGTTCAACATCGAGTAGAAATCTAACGATGGACGGAAGTGCGACATCTGATAAAAAGTTAGACGAAAGTCTGGCGACTGGTAGAAATTCAAAGATGGGTGGAAGTTCGACATTGGGTAGAGGCGATGGGTAGAAATTTGGCGACGAGTGTAAGTCCGGCATCGGATAGAAGTCCGGTGTCAGACAGAAGTCCTACGACGGGCAAAAGTTTCGCGATGGACGAAAGAATGGCGTTAGGCAGAAGTTCGATGAAAGTCCGGGGATGGGAAAAAGTCCCAAAGCTATCTAAATTGGAATAGTATTGTAGTAAAATAAAAGTCTTAAAATATCATTTTATACAATTCTTTGTATTTTGGTAAATTTTTTAAAATATGTATTTTTTGTCTAATAAGATTCTTTGTTGTCTCTCGTTATGATATTTTGACATATTATTAATTAAGCTCAATTATGTGTTATTTAGTGCAATGCATTGAAAATGGATGGGTAATAAAACTCAAATGCATTAGCAACATAATCTATAAGTAATAAAACACTACGGTATGGAAGCTATTAAAGTTGTAAACTAGTATGAGTGTTAAATCTATAAAATAATCATCGTATCCGTAATATCAATCAGTCAAGAAATCATATAAAACATCCAATCAAAACTTCAGTAAAGACCGTTGAAATTGAATCAATGTAGTAAAATCACATCGGAATGTACACATATTATCTGATTATCCTATATCACATGCTCAATATATCGCATGCTTAATATCAGTACAATGAATCAGTAGTATTAATATATATAAGTATATATATTTATAATAATAATAATCTAGTGATAGAAGCTATAGAATAATGTAATAATAATAAATTCATGCAGTATTAATAAATATGCATAAGAATAAGAACAATGCCTCAAAAACATATAGTTTAGTAGTCACACTAAATAAGTAAGAACTCCTAGCTATTGTGATGTTTTTCAATATTGCATCAATATTAGTAAATCGTTAGCTCAGTAAATAGAGTCGTCACTCTTTGCCTATCGGCATAGTAATTATCTCCTTATAACTCCCAATTAGTACAACATGAATTAGTAGAGGAAAACACTAAATAATAATTTTTAAAGGAAAGCCTATCAGCCGAACATTATGTACAGGTCAATCAGTCTCCAACAATTGGGTTAACCAGTCTTTACTTATCCTTTACACTCATAGTAGTATCAAAGTACTATAACAATAATTTTACGACAAAGGAACAATATATAGGTCAACAATCATATCATAACAGTAGCATTCAAAAGATCAGTAAATTAGTGTAAAAATAATAAAATTCACATATATTAGTAGTATAATTTGTAAATAATAAAACCCTACAGTACTAAAGCCAATAAAACAATAAACTAGTACTGGTGTCAAATCTATAAAACAATCGTCGTATTCATAATAT